ACACACACACACACACACACACACACCACAAAACACAAAACCAAAAACACATGTGTTCATTGGGTTACTGAAAGAATATTCAAGTGCAAAATAAAGAAATGATTTCCCTTTTTCTTGTTTTGGTTAAACACCTGGGCTTATTTAAATATAACACAAAATTTATTTAGTAGAAGGACTGAGGTCATTTGTTAGAAAAATGTGGCACTAAAGAGATTACTAACAATAACTATGGTCATGAATTGCATACCTATGGGCTGCATGTGAGGAGTTGTGACCATGGTCCTATAGGATTATGCTGCCCTGTGATGTCATAGCCATCTTAGTTGGTATAAGTGTGTGCTATGACATTTGCAAGATGAAACTCTCTGATGCTATGTTTCTCAGAATGTGTTAAGTGACATGTTGCTATCTTACAAATATTGGGTGTGTTGAGGAAGATTTTGATGGATCCATGCAGAGACAGTTCAGGAGGATAATGCATCAGAATTTGCCAGGAAGAAGGAGCTCATGGCGGATACAGATTGGTGAGCATTTACTATAACTATCCTTACACAGAAGATATTGGTCAGAGCTGAGCTTGGGCCTCAGTCAGGAAACTGACTCTCAGAGTATGTCCTATGCCCATTCTAGCTATGGACAGTTGACCTTTCTTTCTCTCTAAAGCATATGCCTTTCCATTTTCTATCTCCACTTTCTTCCTTTCCACATGCTTGTTCTCCTTTCTTTTTTTTGCTTGTTCACCAGAGTTGCATAGAGGGCCAAGAACTTCAGCTGGTCCTGCCAGAGGTGGGAGACAAGAGTGGGTATGTTTCCACAAGTTTCAGATGAGTCACTAACCTTTGAGTACCTTGGTTCTAGTGTAAGTGGCTGGACTCCTTCATGTCCTACAGCTCAGTAATCACAGTTCTGTGGAAGGCTGATATTAAGGATGGCAGACCAGCTGTCTAGAGCATGAGCGTCAGAGGCTGGTGAGTGTGCAGGCCTGCTCTTTTATGGCATGGGAAACAGGACAGGAATCTCTGCAGTTAGCACGGTGGACTGTCAGATTGGTTGGTGAGGCAATCCATGGATTCATCATTGTTACAGTCCAATATCTTACAGTCTCCCAAAGAATGTAAGTGTCCTGCCAGCCATACCTGGTTCAAGAGAAAGGGACCAGCAGAGAGACCAGTCAGGCATTCTTTTATGCCAGTGAAAAAGAACAGGGACTTACAGTAATTGATGCCTAGGAAGATAATGAGTAATTTTTTCTTGCCTTTTTTGAGACAGGGTCTTGCTGTGCAGTTCAGACTGGCCTTGAGCTCACTTTATAGCCCAGGCCAGCCTTGAACTCACAGCAATCGTCTTGCCTCAGTCTCCTGAGTGCTGGGTTTAAAGGTATGTGCCACCATGCCTGACTGATGAGTAATGTGTTTAATTAATGATATCAAAAGTAGAATGTAGAAAATTTCATATTTGGAAATATTTTCGATGTAAGTTTTTGGCCATAAGTTCCTTTTTGCTCTTACCTTGTTTTCAGTGACCCTGTGAGCAAAACCTTGAGGTAAATTCTGTGACACACTCATGTTTCAAATGGGGCTGCCCATGAAGCTAATGAAAGATGGTTTCCATTTTTGGCACAACCAGTGTGTCAGCCAGCTTTCTGCCACTGTAACAAATACTGAAGATAATCAATGTTTAAAGAGAGAAGATTTAGTTTGGTTCATAGTCCATGATTGGGAGGATAAATGCTTTTGGCAAGGAAGTACATCATGGCTGGAGTGCATGTCAGAGTAAAATTGTTCACCTCATGCCCAGGATGCCAAACAAAGTAAAAGGAAGTGACCAGAATCCCATAGCCACTTTCACAGGTGCAATCCCAGTGACCTAAAGGCCTCTCATGAGGCCCTGCATGTTAAAGATAGCACTACCTTCCATGGACCTATGGGGAATACTTAAGATTCAAAATACACCCATCACAAACACAGCTAATATGCTTAACATAAGCTGAATATGATACCAAGTGCTTTGTATGGATAACATTACAAAACCATATATACTACGTACAGTTTTACAAAGGAAGAAACAGAGACTCAAGAAGAATTATAAAAGTCACCAGTAAGTAGATTTGATGCAGGAGTTAAGAGTCTGTATAAATCTAATTTAGAAGCTGCCCTATTTAGCTTGCACTTAATTGCAAATTTCCAAAACTTTATGTTGAGCTTCAACATTTTTTTTCTTGTTGAAAAGAACATATTTTGCTTCTGTTACAAATCTGGAATATTTGCCAATTTGTGAAGTGGTGTGAATTAGGAGAAATATCCTGGTGGCTGCTACAGTCAGGTGATCATTGTTTCACCCAGCTTCCCTGTGAAGTGGGTGGTGTATGATTATTAAAGCAGGTGTTCTGTTATTGGTGGGCTCTGAGTATAACATACATGACTGTGTTGCATGAAGAGCGATTGAGGGAATGTGCCCTGCCTCATTTGAAATACATTCAGTGCTGGGAGATGTCAGCTTGATTACGCTTGGCAGTGTGATTTCCTGTTTGGGGGATAAAAGATCTACAGAAGTTTATTAGAAAATTTCATAAGGCTTTAGTGACGTGATCACATACAGCGTAGGGAAAACTCTTAAATAATTTAATTGCAAGTGAGTTTGAACCATATGTAGAAATTTCTTAATGTGCACATCGGTCCAACAGAAGATTACCAGATGATATATAGGAGATGTTTGACTGCATGTATAACCCAAAGTATTTTAAAAAAAGGAAAATTTAACAATACTTGAAAAAAAATGTGGTTAGCTCTTTTCTAAATCCAAAGATTAGACAAATGAATGTGTTTAGTAGATTCTTACTGCACTCTGTGTGCGTCATCCCAACTGAGCTCTGTGTAGTCACAGAACAGCTTTTTACTCTTGTCCATTTTTTTATGTGTGCTGATGATACTGTCTGGTTCATCATAGATAATGCCTGCTGGGCAGGCAAGGTACTACTCTTGCAGGGAGTCTACCTAGCCTTAGATCCCTTTTTCCCCTTCATGAGCAGAAAAGCTTGGGGAGGGGGAATGAGAGGTGCTTGGATGAGGGGTGAGTTTAAATGGATAAGGTATCATTAAGGAGGGACAAACCTGAAATCAGAGAGGTGACATTCAGGCCACTGCTTGGCACTAAACATGTGTGTGACCTCATGTGGTCTGCTTCACCTCAGATACTATTTGCTCATGGGAACAGGATCTTTCCCACTTTGTTCAGGGCTATTGTAAGGACTAGGATGAAAAATGTGATATCTTTTTGCAAATTGTAGAGATTTATCCAAAAATGTGTCATGTGGTGGGTTGTAAGCTTTGTGCCCTCAACTGGTTTGTGGGCCTGGCCATCTTCTGGCCCCCAACATGGAGTGATTAGACATAGGCTGGTGACTAGGGTGGGGGAGCTGTGTAATTTAATAGGGTAGTGGCTGTTTCTGCCACTGGATGGTATGGCTGATGTGTGGTGGATCTAGCATGCTTTGGGACAGAGCATCTGGCTGGGCAACTCAGGTAGCACATGGTGGAATTCACTCCTTTCTCTTCTACAATTCTGTCATGTCTGGGAAATTCTGAAGTGTTTTGCTTACTACTATTTCCCGCCTAGATTTATTGTAGAGTATCACTGAGTTAGAGTCTGTTTGCCTTGAGCAGAGACCTGCAACAATTGTCCCCTAGGCCCAGGACTACTGCATCTACTCTAAGACATTGACTGGAGAGAATTATAGGCTGGAGCAGGACTGCAGGCAGAGAAAACCACCTTTGTGCAATAGTTCATTTTCTAGCTCAATCACATGAATCTTATGTGTGCTTTATTTTGGTGGACTGTTGCTTGCTATTTGATCAAAAACAAAAATTTACAATAATTACTGTCTCACATATTATGGAAAATATTTGTTGAAGCTTATAGGTTACTCTTCTAGACTTTAGGGAGGGGGTGTTCTGTGACTAATCAGGCAGCCCTAGATAATCCATCAAAGGTCACTCCTTTCATTAGATTCATGATGTCAAAACCAAGTATCTGACATTTCAGAATAGCTGTCTGCAAAGGCTAATTATGTGTTATAGAGGCTCATGCTAACTTATGAAATTTTTTTTTCATTCTTATGCTTAGCTTGGAGTCTTCCAGTCTATTAAAGTAGTAGAATAATGATGAGGTTAATCAAAGGAAGGAGGCTTTGGAAGTAATTGGCTCACACAATTATAGGTGACTTTACCTTAGCAGCATCCTCAAGTGAAGGTTAAAATATGGTTCAGTACTGAAAATGGGCGACATTGTAGTCATATTTTCTGTAACGCTTGTTTGCAAACATTTCAGCTCTTACTTGTTGTAAAGATAAAACTTAAAAATGAAGTAAACAACATTGCTTTAAAGGTTAACAGTGAGAGTATTTTTTAGTCACTTTAGCAAGAGGATTTTGCAAAGCTGATTAAGGTAACATGAAGAAAGCAGTAGATACTGAGAATGCAGCAGTGATGTGTTATGATGGGGTTTTTCTGAAAGGGCAGGACTTACAACTTGGAAGCAAAGTTTAGAACTCAAAACAAAATTGCTATTCACCTTTTAATGCTTCATTGCAAAGGCAAGTAAAACTCTTTTCAACGTTATAGTGACTAACTGTAGCACAGTAACGAATAGCAAATAGTGGGTCTCTGTTGTATTTTTACATTGACCTTGGCTTTCACCAGAGAATATATAGTTTTAGCTTAATGGGGTCAAAAGGAAATAGATGAAAAGGGATCTGATAAAGCATCCAAGATTTCTGGCTGTCAGTCTCTTGCATGATATGTTTCATTTTAGTTTCTTGAGATCTCTTGGTATGAAATATGGGTAGGATTATCAGGACAGAGAAATAATCTTACTAGGGTTTGTTACCAAAAATAGGCATTTAAGCTCAGAAGCTAGTTGATGTTTTCTGAGATATCGCATATGTGACAGTAGATATTAAGTGGTGTACTGTTTAATGGTTCCTATGTCATGTCCTTTTTAAGAAAAGGAAGTGCCCAACAAGCCCTTGCGTGTGCGCGTCCGGTCCTCAGACGACAGGCTGTCCATTGCATGGAAGGCACCACGCCTGTCAGGAGCCAAAAGTCCACGCAGATCTCGGGGTTTTCTTCTGGGCTATGGAGAGAATGGTCGGAAGATGAATTACGTTCCACTGACAAGAGATCAGCGCACCCATGAAATTAAAAAGCTGGGTAAGTTTAATATTAATTGCTATCCAACACTTTGATGATTGTCTTAGTTACTTTTCCCATTGCTGAGACAAAATATCAATACCCAAAGTTAAAAGAGAAATGGTTTATTGTAGCTCACAGTCTGTGGAGTCTGTAATCAACTGGCTCCAAGACAGGATGGCATGGCAGAAAGGCATCACAGAAGAAAAACAGTTCATGGGAGGTAGAAGGCAGCAGACAGTGAAATAGTGAAGCAAAAAGTGACAAGTCCCTTATATCCTATCCAGGCTAGGATGGGTAACACTCATACCTAGGGTGGGGTGACTTTAAGCCTAGCATTAAACTGTGAATTTACTTCAGCATCACATCCTTGATCCTAGCATCACACTCTAGGTCCAGCCACCTCCAAAGACCCCTACCTATGACTACATGAGGCTTTGTGTGGACATCTAGATATAAACAATAACATTTTATCCCTGGACCCCCAAAGGCTCACTAACATCCATTTATACAAATGATATTCAGTCCATCTCCAAGAGTTGCTAAAAAGTCCAAGTCTAAAGTTTCCACTAAGATTTAAGGCAAACTGTTAGCTTCAGATCACTATACAGATGAAAAGAAAGTTAAACACTTCCCAACACATCATGGCACAAGATTAACATTCCCACTCTAAATAGGAGGATAGAGAAGAATGGTACCAAAGCAAGGCCAAAATCCAGCAGGGCAGACATTAAATTCTTAGTTCCATGCCCAGCATCCAAGGTAATCTGTGGCAAGATGTAAACTCTATCTGCTCCTATGGCACTGCTAATGGTTGTAGCCCCATGGATTCTCTTTTAAGCTGACTCTGCTCCTTCTCTGCAATTTTTTCAGACAATCCATGTTTCTGGCTTCTCTAACCTTCTGGGGTCTCCAGTGAACCTTGGACATTACATAGTTTCCCACATTGTTCTCTCAGGGCACATTGTGTAAATGTCAAGATCATTTAAAATTTGGGTGGAAGCCTTCTGGACCCTATAACTATTGCATTCTGTATGCACCTAAAGCCAGCACCACATGGATGAGGCCAAGATTTGACCCCAGTTGAAGCAGTAACCAGGTTTACTTCTCTCTTCATTTTAGGTTTCAAGTGCCTGGATCACTGAGCACTCTGAATGAAATTTGAAGGATAGAATTCTCTAGGCTGCTACGTAGAGCATGGTACTGGAGCATTGGGTTCTCTTCTCAAAGAAAATTCCTTCACCTTTCCAAATTGAGCCTACACATGCTGGAGTCCTGCTGTTCCTTGTAATGTCATTAGTCCACCTTCTCCATTTTTTTCTTGGCAACCAAGTTCTTCTCCACTCTATCTTTGTAGTTTACAGATTCACTTGAGCTTACTTCCTGACCAAATTCATCATGTTTTAATTCATTCTGCTGAGCTCTTTGCTCTTGATTCTCAACATAGATCTGGAAAAAAGCCTCCAGCAGCAGCCATGCCACCACCTCCATGTTAGACTGTCTTGAAATTTCTTCTGCAATATTAATTAGTTCATTGTCTTTAATCTCAGTCTCAAGCAAAGTCTCTGGACATGAGCAAACTACAGATAAACTTTCTGCTAAGGCATAACACACATCATCTGCTGTCCAACAGCCAATAATGTCTTTCTTTCTGGCAGAAACTTCTTGAGCCTAGTTTTTACTGGCAGCATTTCTATCAGCATTCTGGTCTCCTGAGGTCTGATCAGAATCTTCTATCAAGTACAACTCACAGCATTCCAGGACAGCTTCTTCAGCTGGCATCTCTAAACGTTTCCAAATTCTTTCCACAAGCCAGTTCCAAAGGCTCCTTGATCTGTATAGTTCAGGAATCACAGCAATGACCCAACTTCTGTGGCATCAAATTCTGTGTTAGTTACTTTTCTCATTGTTGAGACAATCTCTGACTCCCAAAGTTAAAGGAGGAAAGGCTTATTTTATCTCACAATTTGTAGATGTTCAGTCTATAATTGGCTGGCTCCAAGGTAAGGTCGCATGGCAGAGGGGCATTGCAGAGGGAAAACAGTTTATGACAAGCAGAAGGCAGCAAAGCATTAAAATACCAAGCAGCAAGCCACAAGAAAGGACATTATTTCCATCCCTTATATTCCATCTAGGCTGCTCACCCTTAGTACTCACACGCAAAGTGGCGCACCCTAAATCCTACTGAAAACTATGCCAAGCCAATCAGTGGATTAACACAGTAATCACATACCCTTGATCCCAGCATCACACAGTTTAGATCCAGCTACCCGTGAAAAGCCTCACCTAAAGCAGCTTGTGGCTTTGTGGAGGAGAGGAACATCTAGGCATAAGTCATAACAATGATTTTTGTGAGCATTTCAATATTTAGAACATGACAGAACACTATTTTAGCTATAATTATCATTTTCCAGGTGTGACAATTATTTAAAGTCATATCCTTGATTCTATTTTAGGCAGGATTAGGGCAAGGCTATCTTCTAAATTCCTTGCATCTTTAAGCTCCTTGACCCCTTGAATCAAGCCATCTTTCTACATGAGAGTAGGGCTGATGTTTTTCACATCTTGCCTCTATTTTCATTATCTTGTTCTTTGAAGTTTTGTGTTAGAATCTTGGAACCCTAGATCTGGGGTCTCATGCAGATCAAACATGTGGCAGCTGAATGAAGATGAAAATCAGTCCTGCCCTCCTCTCCTTCTGAACCCTTAGTTGGGTGATGAAAAAAACATTGACTATAGAATGCTTATGGTAGCATGTACAGAGTCTAAGAGACATTACATGCCTGGCCCATCTGACCTACTATGGATCAGGTTATGATCTTTGCTGGCCATATTTACTGAGAGACCTGGGCAGTGGACACAGGTTGGTTCATCCTTGCACATGGAGACAGGCCTAATGGCTCTCTCTTGTCCTCTCCCTGCCTTTCTGTCTCCTTATCTCTTTGACAGATTGGAAAGAGGTTGAGTAAACATGGCTGAGCCCATTCATATCTCCTCCTCTGGGAAAAATGAGTTACTGAGAGCCCACAAATTCTATCTCATCCTGGGATTCAGAGTTAGAAAGTATCCTCATCATACATCCTCAAACTGGCTTTCTTTTTAAAAACCAGCATTAAATATTCCAGCTGCATTGCTCATTCAGGGACTCTACAAAGACTGGACAGCCCCTCCACTTACATACAATTGGGTACCTAGTAGCTTCTTGTACTCTTGATGATGTGGAGGTTGGAGGTGGAGTCTCATAATTATGTGATGTGGGAAGCCTGGAGGTAGGGAGGCCTGACTCCAGCAAGGAACAGGGAGTGTGGGTAGCCATAGGTTCATGGAATTTGAGAGAAGACACGTGGTACTCAAAATGACAGCTCCTCAGTCTTGAAAGCTAAAATCTATCAGGCAAAGTGAGAGGTTTGCAGAAAGTGAGAAGTAGGAGTGGAAAAATGGGACAGGGGTTGGAAATAACCTGAGGGAGTCAGGGAATGGTGGTAGACCCAGACATAGGTGAGGGAAGAAGCCTAGTGTCCTGCACCTCTTTTGCTCTGGGTACCATACAGCCATACTCCTTTTTAGAGTCTTGATGAAGAACCACATTCCATGGGCCAGATACTTGGGCTGTACCACAGCCCTGACCAGCATGAATTTGACTTGGAGATGTTAGGTGGGTGTTGGGCTGGTTTGTCCTCCCTGAAACAGCCCTGAAAGTTCCTATTCCATTTGGGTGGGATGTTCAGCCGCTTAGTGAAAACTCTTTGATAGTGCAGCTCTATGGGACATTCCTGGCTCAGGTGAGCCATGTGGCATTGTGCGTCTCTGCCATGAGGAGGGATAGATACGACTAAGCCAAGCAGAGCATCAGAGCCATCTCACAGTGTGGACTTTGGGCTTATTCCAGCAAAAAGAGATGAACCATCCCTTTGATCCCATGGCACAAGAAATATAGAGGGATTTCAGGAAGCAAGATACCTCCAAGCTCTATGTTCATTGTGAAGTATAACTTCAGTATTAATGTCAAGACCTAGAATCAGAGAGACTCAGTCACCTAAGCCAAAGAACAATTTGGAAAGGTTTCAGTCTGTCATTCTGAAGTCACACCTTTGCTTGAATGGTTTTCCTGCACAGATTGATGGGCTGTATTTTGGTAATATGGGCCTGACTCTCCTCAAAATATCAGCAGAATAAGAAAATCATTATTTTTGCATTCCTGATATTGCAGGAAATAATTTTCAAATGATAAGTTTTCATGTAACTGGGCTATTTTCCCCACTTCTTCAGTAGTACACTGCTAGTTCTCCTGAGGTTTATACAAAGTTTTTCTTTTTCTACCTGAACATGAGCAAAGGTTAGATGTGAGGTCGTAGCTCAGAGGTAGGCCCCAGGCCTAGGTTGAAGGGTCAGGGGCAGGCCTCTTTGCCTTCTGGTATAATGTTATCTTTTGAATTTTCACTACATAAAAGGCACTGGACTTGCCATTGTAAAAGTTCTAACAGGTCTCATAACAGAGAGGAGGTCTAATCAGAAGCTTGTCCCACTGTGGGTGGGCAGTATAGGGGTTGTGCTGTGTCCTGGGAAGTCTGCCTCTGTGTTTTATCTGAAACACTACTTTTTGGCAACACTGGGAATTGAACCCAGGGATTTTGCACTGAACTACATCCCAAGTCCATTTTTAATTTTTCAGTTTGAGACAGGGTCTTGTTAAATTTCTAAGTTGACCAGGATGGACTTGAAATTGCAGTCCTCTTGTCTCAGCCTTCCAGAGTGCTGGGATTACAAGCATGTGCATGCCACCATGCCTTGCTATCCTGCATATGACTTTCATTTTATTTATGACAGAGGTGCCACTGGGAATGTGTACTGGAGAGAATGGCCACATGTTAAGTACCTTTGGAGGAGAATGGGCTTGGAGTCCCATTAGCCGGGATCTCCTTTGCTGTAAGGGATTTCTAAAACATTTCTTACTGCGAGTTGTCTTTGTCAGGTATCATCCAAGCAGAGGCAGCAGTGTTGAAGCAGTGGTTAAAGGAGACCCCAAAGAGGAGCAGAAATCTGCACTGGTGGACAGAGCACATGAAAGGGCCAGTATCCAAGTGGGAGAGGCATAGTGATAAAGAATAGGTCAGATCTACCACTCTTCCGTCTATACCTGGAGGAATATCTACATACCCATGTTTTTCATGACACTGTTCACAATAGTTGGGTTATGAAATCAGTGCTCATAAATAGATGAATAGTTAAAACGTGGTGTATATGCATATTGGGCATGTTCAAGAAAATGTATGGAACTAGAGATCACCAAGTTAATGGAAGTAAGCTGACTCAGAAAGACAAGTATCACATGTTTTCTCTCCTATTTAGAATCTAGAGAGAAAGAAAAAAGGACGACATGAAAGTAGAGGAACAACTAAGGGAAAGGGGGAGCAGAGGGTAAGGGAGGTGGGTAGGGTCACAGTTTGTTATACGCAGGCATGGAAATGTTGTAGTGAAGCCCATTATTCTGTATTGATAATATGCACTAATAAAAAAGAACAGGTTTGGAGTCCTTCAGAAAGGTTATACTGTATCTTTGGAATATGAAACACAGTGTTTCTGCCACATCCCATATTGGGGGTCAAAAGCGAGCCATTCATTGGTTCTGAGGGAGAATACCCTAGTAGCTTGGGATGCTACTGTTAGCTAGGAAATTTTACTTCCACATTTTATTTAATAATCAGAGGACACAGAGAAAAGCTGGTGCCTGTACCATTACCTGTTCTTCGTTATAATCCTCTGAGAAAGAGATAGATTGCTGCCTAGGACCTGTTCCCTCTTCATCTGCAGTCATAAGAACCTAAGCTTTGGAGTCACACAAATTTGGCTGTAAAATATGATCACTCCATGACCTTGAGGGGTCATCTCACCCCTATGAACTTGTCCTGTGGCATTAAACTCCTCCTATGACATTTTGGGTCCATGGTAGTTTCAAGAGTGCATTAAATGTAGATGTTAAGAACTTTAAGAAATACATTGAAAGTATGTAAAAACTTTGAGTATAGGACATTACTTATTTCTTGGTAATTCTTTGCAAATAATGGACCCCTACTTTTCACAGACAGCTACTTATCCATGCTCCTAGATTGAGAATGGCAGGTTTTCTTTTTTGTTCACTTCTGGCTTGCTTCCATTGTCAATAGCATAAAGAAATTAGCAGAGCTGAAGTGATTTCTTTGGACAAAAGCTAAGTTTGATGTGCTGTGATTTTGAGTATTACCAACTTGATGTTCCTTGTGTAAAACATACATTTCAGAGCTCTTAGGTAAGGTAGCTATAAGTGCTTTTACCATAAACAGTTCACTTATGTCACAGCGTGGACTTTTCTGTCAGTAGAGAAAGTGGGGGCTTCAATATTATTGCCTTCCCTAGAATTCGCTGATGAGGAGACAGCAGTTCACTTTATGTAAATAGGTCCTTCAGTGTGAGGTCTTCGAACACAGTGTACATTTATTTAACTCAACATGTTTGTAAAGACCAGAGGCTTATTTCCCTATTTCCCTTTGAAGGAAGGTATCCTGTGTTCTAGATTTTGTTTAGGATCTTAGTATCTTTATATTATAACTAGGATCTTTATGTTATAACTTAGGATCTTTATGTTATAACTACCTGCACTAGAAATAGTTCAGGTTGCCTCATTCTAATTCTGGAATTTTCATAATTGAATTTTAATTCTTGAATTGAAGAAAGCTTCAACAGGAAGCTGGTCTGGAGAGTCTTAAGTTAGATGTTATTAATATGAATTCAGGGAAGACTGAAGTCTTCTGAGAATGAGATCTTGGGCAGGTTACTCAATTTTTATGGTTTTCTTTGTATTAGGGTTCTCTAGAGGAACAGATTCAGTTATGTATAACATATAATTATAATTGTATATAATTTATATATGATATATAATTTTTTAGGCAGGCTTATAGGATCAAAAACAAAAGAAACAGAAAAATCCTAATGCCTGACTCAAAGGCAGGAGAACTCAAAATAGCCTTCTGTGCACTTGAGAGCCAGAGGGTCCATTAACAGTCAAAAGTTGAAGGGCTGGAAGTTTACTTGAGTCACTGGTATGAGTCTATGTTGGAAGGCCAAAGAGTCTGCAGTGGAAGGCTGAAGAAACTGGAGACCAAGGTCCAAAGGCAATATGACGACTCTTAAAAAAAAAGACAGGGAGCATTTTCTTCTTTCCCTTTTTATTCTGTGCAAACTACAAGCCTATTGGTTGATGTCATCCATATCTTAGGTGGTTCTCTCCTTAGTTTGCTAGCATTTGTACCAATCATTGACAGATACTCAGAATTTACTAATCTGCTGGTGCTTCTTACTCAAGTCAAATTGACAGTTACAATTAACAGTCACATTGTTCTTATTAGTAAAATAAGATCAGATTGGAAGATAACCAGAGTTTTACCTGAGCCTCAGGCTTAAGAATACAAGTTTTAGCCAGGCACAGTGATGCAAGCCTTTAACCCCAGCACTCCAAGAAGCTGGAGCAGGAGGATTGCAAGTTATAGCCTGGGTAATTTAGTACTTTAGCCAATGAAAAAAAAAGAATTCATATTTTATTCCATAAGGTTTTTCCAAATACAGTTTTCAAGTTTAGATTAAGTTACTTATGAGTGAGACCAATATAAAACTCTGTGTGTGTGTGTGTGTGTGTGTGTGTGTGTGTCAGGGGGTAACCAACTGAAAGAAGAATCCAGGAATAAAGGTTATATTTAAATCTTTTATTTACTCTTAGCACATATGTGGAGATTCCACTGAGGATTTTAGTTTCAAAGTGTACAATGAGCTACAAGGAAAACCTTTTGGGATATGAATCCATCACAGTGGCTTCCTTCCCCTTCTTTCTGAAATCAAACACAGTAACTGACATACTGAAAGTAAAGAGGGATTTTTTTGGACAGATTATATGGGAAAACATGTTATTCTTTCTTTTAAAAACAATTATTTGTCTTTGATGTCGAGAAGATAGAAACCCATTTTTCAGGAATAATGGGTAAAATCTATTCGCTGTTTTCTAAAATAATAGTGATAATTAAATTTTTTTTGTTTAGTTCCTATAGTTCTTGGTCTGATTTTCACTTGTTCTGAGAAGTGAGAATGCCTGTGGAAGGATGGCATGGGAAGCGGGGATGGGGAACACAGGCCATAGAGGTGCGTGTCTTCCTGAGAAACCAAACTGCTATCTCAGTCCCTGCTCTTTGGTCCCCAGCCTCGGAGTCAGTGTACGTGGTCTCTCTGCAGTCTATGAATTCCCACGGGCAGAGTCAGCCGGTCTACAGGGCAGCTCTTACAAAACGCAAGATTTCAGGTGAGTTCAAAAGATGACTTGGTTGAAATTACAGTCTAGTTTGAACACCATCTTGCTTCCATGGTGCTGAATGATAGATTACATGAATAGAGAACAGAGCAAACTAGTGGCCGATTTGGTCACTTTTTGGATGCAAGTGTGTGTCTTTCACATGCAGAGGCTTCAGAGTTCTTGTGATGAAATTCATTTCACTGTGTATCCTTCACTGTACAATGGCTTTCCCATGAGTGGAGGAGCCAAACATGATTCCATGCAATGGCACAGTCTGGTTTACCCAGAATTTGCCCCAGTGAGACATCAACAGAGGAGAAAGAAAGGTAGGTGTGGAGAGATGGCGTGCAGCCATGCACACCAATGTTATTTCAGCTAACTTTGCATAAAACTGTTATTGAGACAGTGAGAACAAGTATAATGATGGCTTGATAATAGCCTGATCATTCTCTACTTGCTAAGAAATACTTATATCCATTCATGGATATTTTTATATTATTCACATTTTAACAAATTCATAATCTTTTGTGGGCTGTGTGCCTACATTTATTTTATTTTCTTTTTCATGTGTCTAACTTTAAGAACCAATCTCCAACATAATCATTTCCATGAATTTTACAGCATAAAATTAAACTTATTGTATTTTTACTTATTTTTCACATAGTGCACTTTTCATGTAATATAAAGAAGTTCCACATATGTGATGTTTCACTTATTCATTGATTTCTGCCATCAAAAGCCCTTCTATCACTTTATTAATGGGCCAAATGCTTTCTCTTTGTCCTACTTCCACATCCTTTTGAAGCATCCTGCCTCAAAAGTGAAAGCAAAACCTCAAGAGACTAAAAAGCAAGATTAAAGGTATCTCATGAGTCTTACTTCATTAGAAATTAACCTAGGATGGTAGCTTTATGACTGTGACGGATTCTAGCGATGATAAAGATAAAACTCTGTGCAAAATAGGCAAGTTGAATTCTGTTTTATATTTGATTATTAATTTTAATCTCCCTTTAGTCATATAGAGTAAAATGTGAGAACATTGAACCCAGTGTGATTCTTCCAGTTATTTGAAGCAGAATTTTCATTTCATGTCATGATTATCAAGGAAATACAAATTAAGCTTTTTAATTCCTTAAACGTTTGCTTCTTCTAATTTTTTTTAAATGATTATCTAGAACTTAAGAGCACACTGAGCAACCACTGACTTATTTGGAGTATCTTCACCGAGGAGAAGCATCTGTCATGCACTGTTCTCTTGCTGACTAGGTTGGGCAGCTTGTGAAAAGAATTGCTGATTTCTTAGGCTATGTTTAAAAAGAGCAAGGGTGGAGGTCTCAGCTTTCTAAACTGGCTAATCAAATAGTTGTTTAACTATTCATTTAATTTTACCTACATTAAAGCAGGTAGATACAACCTAAAAGTTATACAGGGTGAATGACAGAGGCTGAAAGTCAGAGGAAGTCAAGGCAGAGACTGTAGTTACAGACAGCTGTTGTGTGTGTCCCACTGTCATTTCAGAAGAGGATGAACTGGATGTACCTAAAGACATCAGTGTCCGAGTTATGTCATCACAATCTGTGCTTGTGGCCTGGGTGGATCCTGCTGTGGAAAAACAAAAGAAAGTCGTTGCATCAAGGTATCTTTATTTCTTTATTATATACGACACAGATGTGACTTTTCTCATCCTGAGAAGATGTGTGTTTAATGATTTTATTTTTCATATTTATATGAATGTTGGCCTCTCTTTTGGAGAATTGTCTCTGGTAGTCTAGTTTTCACAAAGCACGAACTACCAGGAGCTTGTGTGCACTACAGAGCCGCTCCTTATACTTACTCAGTTTTACCGTGTTTCTAGAAATTTCCTAGATTCCTTTACTTCCTTTGCCTCCATTCATGTTTTGCTTTATCTGATTGGTGTTCTGTTCATGTGCAGTTACACCTTGGGAGGAATCTTACTGGAGAGTCACAACAGGAGAACTTTTGTGTAGAATGGTGGACATTCATATAATAACTTAGTAGTTCATTAGACATTTGTCAAATACTGAATTTTTTAATGTCTAGCTTGTTTATGACTAGCAAACTGTACTTATTTTCTCTTAGATCATGACATGGTACTATTTTGGTTTTTATATTCATTTGCCAATGATGTAGAAGAAAAACACTCATAAGATTAAAATAATCTTTACCTTAAAAAGCCACTGGTGAATAAAGCCATCAAAATTTTATGTAATTCAGGGGCTAAATGATTGACATAAGTAAGAAAAAGCCAAAGATTTGGTGGCTTAGTTATTATGTATTAAATCTTGAACTTGTCTGCTGCCAGCAAGGAGAATGTAAAGTGAATGGAATATATACAAACTGTTCATCATATTGGATACACGGTTTCCTTGACCGTCTTCTAGTTAAAAAAAAAAGACATCTGTTTCTTTTGAAAGGCCTCAGAAGATTTGTGATGGTTCTCTTCTAGACACATGGCTTCCCCAACATGCAGTGTTCCTGATTACTATCATCTTTCATTTCCAGCATCTTTCTGAGAAACAGGGAAGGCTTGAGTGTTTTTTAGCAGAATTGCTTTGTAAGTGATGTAGCGTGTCTTCAACTGAAGTCTTCTAACTTATTAAATATAATGGGCAGCATATTTTTAATACATCAGATGCTTTCTACTGCAAAGAGGCCGCAAAGAAAATTTTTTTAAAGAGGAGCCCAGTAAACTGTGTTTGGCACTCTTGGAGTGTTGAGGATATCTGCTGTGTGAGGGTTTTAAGTATTGCCTTCAATGTTTGGTTTCTCTCCAGGAAAATCACACATCAGAGTGTCTTTTACAAGCTCCCCTGTCCTGCTGTATTTGTTACACATCTTTGCTTCATTTAAGGTTAATAAGTCTACTCGAAACCAAATTTTCCTTTGCCTCCTGGCCATATAGAAATATGCCTGATTTGGCATGAAATAACTGTTTTTCCTTTCTTTTTGAAGGGCCAGGATGACTTGGGCCAGTTCTGATCCTTAATGTTCCCCCTTTCTACAGCACACACATGTGTTCCCAAACTCTAAGAAGGTAGTTCTCTCAGATGGTATGGCCCACTTGTATGCCTTCCCTTTATAACTGTGCTTGATTTTGAGCAGTAAGACATTTTTGGTCTTGAATTGGACTTCTTTGGACTGTTTTAGACATTTGTGGCTGAAACTTAAACAGAGCCAAGAACATAGCCAAAAGTTTAGCTTTTCCTCACTTTTAATTTCTCATCTTACCACCAAAAGCTATCACTTATTGAGGAAGGAAAAGCAGCAAGAATTCTAGAGCTTAACTGCAAAGCGTCTAACCAACTGGGGGCCTTGTTGTGTTGCATGTTTTTACAGACAGTACACCGTGCGCTATCGAGAGAAGGGGGAATCAGCCAGGTGGGATTACAAGCAGATTGGGCACAGGCGTGTGATGATCGAGAACTTGATGCCAGACACTGTGTATGAATTTGCAGTCCGTATTTCACAGGGTGAAAGAGATGGCAAATGGAGTACATCAGTCTTCCAGAGGACGCCAGAGTCTGGTCTGTATTTGAAATGGCTTTTAGGTTTTCTATTTGTGAACTGCTTCTAAAATCCTATGTAAAGATAATTTAAGAAGCTTGTGGTGAAAAAGACCAGCCTGAGCATTTTAAAAATTCACATTAACCCTAAAATTTGCTGATGTTTCTATGTACAATACAAAGCAATTAGGATTAAGGTTTGTATTAAAAAGTTAATAAAAGAGAGAAATAAATGCAAAGAAGTTAGGAACTGTCTTATTATCTCTACATTTTGTCCTCTGCTGTCTCTTCCCTTAGCACATTGCTCTGACCTGTGCAACATGTGTGAATCACTGTTGCATGCCTGGGTGCTCCCTATGGTGCACAGCTCTTGATGTAGGGCATACTCTTGTCTCCTGAGGTGGAGGATGTGCTGAGTCTGGAGGAAAATTTTACCCTAGAGTCAATTCTTCTCCTTTAAACTAGGCTGTTAATAATTGTATTTTTAAAAAGTTAGAAGTGGATTTTAATCTTCTCTGTATATTTGAATATTTAGCTTCAAAAGAAATTCTGAATTCCTAACAGCATTTCCCTAGGTAAGTCTAATTTTACTGTAAGAGTTGGTAAAAATGACATAAATCACCGTACTTCAAAAAGAGCATCATCTGTTTCATGTGTCACAAATGTTAACACAATAGGTCTTCAGTAACCAATACGTATTGAGTCACTATCTGTCATTTGCTTTTCGGATATCCACGAGGGCAAGTGTAAAATGTTTGATTCTTTGTTGTCTTATAGCTCCTACCACAGCTCCTGAAAACCTGAATGTCTGGCCAGTCAATGGCAAACCGACAGTTGTCACTGTATCTTGGGATCCACTGCCAGAAACTGAAGGGAAAGTGAAAGGTAAGAATGTCATCCCTTAAACTCTAAGTTGCATTGACTCTGATAGATACGCATTGCTCACAGCTTTGAGGACTGAAGGTGAAACAGAAAAGCAACATATATAGAAGAGGTGCTAATCCCAGGCAGAGCTGATTGCACGCATTTTCATTGTCTAAGACTCAGCTGGTCACAAAGGTGACTATTCTTTCTATTTTCCTATGGTGGGGGTCTTTGATGTTGTGACCAGCAGGGGTGTTTTCAATTCCATGGGTATGATATTGATATTACAACTGTCACTCTCGTGTCCTTGCTAGGAGCTTTTCATTGTACCACTGAGACTGAGAAAGTAGGGGATAGTGGGAGCCCATAGGAGCATAAGTGACTTCAATGGGATCATAGATACTTTCAGTAGGTTTGAAAAACTCAAGTAATAATTTTCAGAATGTGTATTTATTACTTATTTGTCAGCCTTTATTTATTTATTTGGGTCGAAGAATGAGTAACGTTAACAAAGAAAGAATGCTGAAGCTTTCAAATAATAAAAATAGAAAAAAAATATTCACAACTAGTTAAACTAAAAAATAGCCTGTTGGAAATATAAAATAACACAGGAATCTTTTTATTTCAGTGAAAAAAAACATTTAAGAATCTTTTTGAAGTCTGGAGACATGTTAAAGAGTCATATTTTTTTTTCCTGGAAATTACCTATGGAAATATAGGAAATGTTTTTCTCCCAAGGGCAGAAAAAGATGCAATGTTTATTTTAGGAAGGAATATTTTAATTGTTACTAGATTTTGGAGAACAAGTTTGTCTAAAATATCTATGAAAAATTTGCGTAAGCTTAAATAAATCCAGAAGATCATTAGCAGCCATTCTCCTTTGAGGTTTTCTTAATTGAAGATGTTCTTTTATTTATTTATTTTTTTTGGAAATTAATCTTAAGTTATCTTTGCTGACAAGTAAGATGTCTTTATGAAGAACAGTGGAAGTTGAGGAAGGTAGATATGGGTAAGATCGATGAGATGATATCAAAATATGTGATGCCTATTTAAATTTTAAAAATGTATTACAGTGAAAGACACATTATCATTAACACCCATAAAAATGTTTCTGGTCACTTCAAACCCATTTATCCTGTGTTCTTGCTACTTTCTGAAGCACTTCTGAAAATCCCCTTTCATGTCTTTACAAGATACCATAAAAAATACAGCGAATCCCCCTGTCCTGTGCCATTCAATAGAGGGGTAGACTTGGAGAAGCGTTATTATGATGCGTTCTTATCCACCTTATACACCAGATCTGGTGCCATGTCACTGCTGGCTCTTCCCCAAAGTTAAAGGATCATGAAAAGTGAATGCTTTGAACTCATTCAGGATACTGAGACATTCTTGACAATATAATCAAAGACACTTAAAATGACTTCTAGAACTGCTTCAGAAAGTGACAAAAATGTGGGAGAAATGAGGGAGTTCTAAGTAAGAAAGAGAATTTTTTTGGGGGCAGAATGAAAGGCAATATATCTTGTACTGTAACTAAAAAATACTTAACTTTCACCGTACTTTGTGATCGTGTCTCATACACATGCTTTCTCATTTTCCAGTTTTTAAAGAATAGGGTATGTTATTCTTTTTGCTTGTTCCTCCCACTCTCAATGTAGTAAATCAGAAACAAATGAAAAAACTAAATATTTAAATTGGCCCTGTGAATAATTTCTTTTGTGACAGTTCAAACTTTGGCTCTTTATTTCTATATTAAGCACTGAGCCTGAAAAGATCTCCAAAAATGAAATAAAGACATTTTTGTTTGATCACTATTTGAGTTTAAAAAGATAGTTAATGTTCCTTTGGTGAATTTATTATTATCATACTTATTTGTTCTTTTCTTCTCCCACTTCCTAGTATATATTTATAGTTCTTTGGTGAGAAAAGTTGCTGGTCATCAATCAAATGTTGCCAGAAATAATAGCTACTGGATTTTTGTGTGAGAAAGAGTCATGTGTTTCAACTCTGCACAGTTTTCATAAGGGTGTAGTTGAGGGACTAAATTGCATAGTTAAACTGGAATATTTCCAATGCATAAAACATATACAGCATAATAGGAGGCTATATACTTTGACATGGTTAAATTTTCTCCAAATGCATTGACTTGATTAAAAAAATCTGAATTACAAAATTTTATAGGCAGCAATTTCTCTAATGTCTTACTTTTAACCACCACAAATGACTAGTTGGTTCATTTGTAATGAGAAAAGAATGCTATGTTTTTCCAGAGAAATGCTACAGAAGCATTTTTGGTTGAAAGTTTTTTTAAAATTAATGTTCTTTTTAAAGATTAGAGACTAGGATAAGAAAGACCAGGGTAAAAAAGACCTCCCATGTTCCTGCTAATTGTTGATCTTTTTTGTGATTCAAGTTGTTTTTATTAGGTCACATATTCATATTACTTGATGTTTCATAAATCTTAAACTCATCGAGAGGAAAATAGGTATAATAGTTTTTAGTTAGATGTTAAAATTATGCTTTAAAATATGACTTCATATGTTATAATTTGATATGTGATTGAGGAGATATTTTAGTTCTTTGGACTGAATTTTCTGTGGTTTTCAAAGTTTAGAGCCAAGCACAGTGGTAACCTCAGCATTCTGGGAGACTGAGGCAGGAGGGTCTTGTTTGAGCCCAGCCTGGGCAACTTAACAAGATACTGTCTCCAAATTGAAAAATACGTAACAAAAGCTGGGGATGTAGCTCAATGTGAAGGCACAGGGTTTAACCTTCAAGGCTGCAAAAAGAAAAAAAAAAAAAGTAAAACAAGGAGAGAACTTTAAGGGTGTTGTGTGCTTATAGATGCAGTCAGTTAAAAATGGAAACATTAGACATCACACAAATCTGTTATTTGGCAACTACTTTTTACAGTTTTAAATAATGTGAAACATCAGCATATGTCGCATAAAGACTACTCTTATTCTACAAAAGTGGTTTTATGCCAAAAATGGATTTTTCCTGACTTAATGTGCGAATATAAGTAAGCAGCTTGATAAACCAAAACTCTTGGGGATGGCAGCAGTTATTCAGAGTCAATTCCTAATGGTTGCCATTTTTTCCTTTATTTCTTCTATTTTGGATTTGTCATCCTACCAAGTTAGTAAATAAAGAACATAGACACAAAAAGATCAGAGTAAGTATTTTTGGTAAATTGTGTGAAGAGTGATCTCTTAACTTCTTTATGTTTAAGCAAATCGCCAGCTCATGAGCCAGCTCTGTCTGGTGGCCAGAGTGAGTGTGAGTTCACCTTCTGCTATGCCCTTCTGCTCTAGCTGTCGACTCGACGTGCACTGTCATATGTTAATTTTAGTAACGGACGTTCCAATTCATCCTGCCCATGCAGTCTGTGTGCTGGACATGGACTGTTTTCAGTTTCCTCTTTCCAACCATCTGCCAAATTGTTTCAGAATACATTCTTTCATATGCCCCGGCTCTCAAACCGTTTGGAGCAAAGTCCCTCACCTACTCTGGACACACTACTTCTGCCCTCGTGGATGGTCTGCAGCCTGGGGAACGCTATCTGTTCAAAATCCGGGCCGCAAACAGGAGAGGTCCAGGGCCACACTCCAAAGCCTTCGTTGTCGCAATGCCAACAAGTAAGTATGCAGTGTTTGTGCCTCTCTCTTCTACCTCTTTTCATTCCTGCTATTTGTTTTGTGTTACTTTGAATCATGCTTTTGGATTGAGAACTCTGGGGTGCAAAGCTTGCATATCGATTTCTTAAATATATTTATGCTCTTTTTAGAAGTTAGTCTTCCCAAAGACTAAAATACTACTGATTGCTGATAATACTGACAATTTCTACCTTATTTTTATTGCATTAATTGCATGAGTAAGATTATGTCACTGTTTAACATTGACATGAAAAGAACATTTTCCCAAGGGTCATATGACAGTTTAAATGGTTAGCCATCTGTTACGCAGCACTTAACAGTTTCAGTTAGCTCAGTTCTATTGTATTCAAGTGCAGCTTTACTCAGAGGAACTTCAGTCGTCTGGTCTATCTGATGAATGTCAAAACCAGCCAGTTAATAAAGATGCATTATTAGAGTGGCCTGCATTTGGACCATGTTTTCTTTTCTGCTTCTCCACATTTATGCCATATATGGGCAGCTCTCCCCTTCTTTATGTGCCATGAGGACCTACGATATACACAGCTTTAATCCATTAACAAACTAGAATAGATAAAGTATGCTCCGTGTGAGCCCCTGTTGCTATAGAAATCTCACTTTCCTTCCAGCGTCCTTTCTCAGTCAATTCTGTTCTTAAAATGGGGTGACAGTAAGGCACATTTAATAGTTTTCCTAGTGCAAGAGTCTTTTTAAGTTTCATTGTGGAACTGCAAATCCATGCATTATGAAAGGAATTTTAAGCAAGAAGCAAGAAGCAAGTCAAGGAAAAATAGAGAATTGTGCACTATCTCAAAAATTATAAATTTGTTACACCACTCACATGCGAGTTATATATAAACCCATGTATTCTCGAGCATAGATCACAGTATTTTGTATCTGGGTTACTCATAGCTCTTGCCTATTAAGAACAGCTATAATGCATTTGCAATACACTGACCAATTCTGTTTTTTTTAGACCTATGCAAGATTTTGTATTTATAAAACCAGTGAATTGCAGGTATTCCTCAGTATTCTCAGTGGATTGGGTCTAGACCTTCAAGGATCCCAAAATCCAAACACTAAATGCCTCATATAAAACAATATAGCATTTATGTATTCTATACTATAAATGACCTCTATCATATCATATAAATTATCTCTAGTTTACCTACAATATCTGATACAATAGAAATCTTATGTAAAAAAAAAAAAAGAAATGCTGTGTAAACACCTGTTATATTACTTAGGGGAAAATGACAAGGATAAAAGGTTTATACATGCTCAATACAATGAAATTTTCCCCCATTTTTGATAGGAGATTGGTTGAATCTGGAGATGCAGAACTCATGGATACGGAAAGTGACTGTATTTTAAAGTAGTTATTTCAGAATTCCTTCTAATAAATAAGTTATGGCATTCTGTGTAATCAATTTACATGTATTTTCTAAGACCTATATCTGTGACTTAATGCAAAATATAATTTCTTAAAAAAAGTGTCATAATTTAGAAAGTAAGTTTCCAGTTTTCTTAGGAATTAGATGTGCTCACCATTTGGAATACCTCCATGCTGCTGCTGTAATTACATTGTATTGTACAGCTTTTGAATATTTTCTTTAATGCCGATTCTTTAAAATTTTTTATAGCCAGTACCATTGAGCCTAAAGTTCAGCAGAACACAGAGGATCGTTGGAAATCTGAGAAACCAGAACCTTCCTCCCCTTCTCCCAAAGCTCCAGCTTCCTCAGAACATACTCATTTTCCTGATTCTCTCCTGGGCAGAAATGTCAAGGACCCTCTCCTTGACCTGAAGAACAAAATACTGGCCAATGGTGGGATGCCTAGAAAACCCCAGCTTCATCCCAAGAAGGCTGAGGAGTTAGATGCTCAGTTTGTGGAAGTCACTGATGAGGAGGAGCAGGATTCCTTGGAGAATCCACACACAGCAAACTCTGACGCTCAAGACCAGAGGCGAATCTCGAGGCTACCAAGCAGATCTGGCCACTGGATCCCAGCCCCTGGCAAGCCTCCATTGAGGGCCCGACCAGTGTTGCCCCCAAAAGAAGGCATGGGTAGGCGTGTCCCCTCACGGATTGCCAACCCTCGCCCAGGGGCAACTTCCTCTGAGGAGGCCTCTCCTGCCCACCATGCAGCTACCCAGGGCCCTTCTCCACACTCAAAAGAAGGGCCCTCTGTCAGTTCCATTGACAATGACTCTGTGGACCAAGATGAGGAGGAGCAAGCTACAACATTCCCGCACTCCAAGGCCATTGTTTCCCAGAAACTTCCTCCTAAGACTTCCTCTCAATTCAGGCCATCCCTGTCCTCCAGCAGTGAGGCGACCTCCAGTGACACAAGGTTCACACACCATGGTGCAAAGCCAGCTTTGCCTGCAGGCAGAAGACCCCATTCTGGAGCTATGGAGAAGGATTCCAGCACCCCTTCTCCATCCTCGAGACTTTCTCCACCCCTCAGGGGGTCTTCTCGGCTGCTGCCCATTCAGCCACACCCTGGCCCTCCACTCTCTAGAGGCTGGAAGGATGGCCACTCCCAGACTGCCAACTCCCACACACCTTCAAAGTCTACTGTGTCTACCCCAGTCTCTTCTCACCTCTCTTCCAGGACACAGGTCTCTGAGGAAGGGGATACTTCTGATGGCAGAGACCACAGAGACAGGGATTTGGAAGACCCTGGGAGGGAGACTGAGGCCACTGTCCACTCTCAAAGGGTCCGACCAGCCTCTGGACACATCGGTTTGCTCAGAAACAGGCCCTTTGCTGCCAATGGCAGGTTTCCAAATAGATTCTCCAATGGCCGGGGTCCACGGGTGCAGCCCTCCAGCTCCCCCCAGTCCACTTCGGCCTCCCGAGTTCTCCCCAGGGTCCATTCCCAGTCAACTCCCCATCCTAGGCTTGGCTCAGGTATTCATGAAGACGGGGAGACTGAGAAGCCACTTCCTGCCACTGTGGTCAATGACCACAGGACTTCCTCACCCAGGCAGCCCCTCTCTGGAGGCTGGGACTCTTCAAGGAGAAGCCCCCAAAAAGGGGCCAGCCTGTACAGGAAAGAGCCTGTCCCAGAGCACCCCAAATCTGCTGGAACAGATGTACATCCTTTGGACAAATCTCCTTCCCTGACCCCCAGGGCACAGGACGTTCAACAGGGTGCAGATTTGGAGGTGGAGGAGCATTTTCCCAAAACTCAGCTAGTGTCCACGGGACGCCAACTGTCCCCTCCCCGTCCTCCAGTGGCAAGGACTCAGCCCTATCCTGGGATCAATGTACCAAGGAGGATGGCACCTGGCCGCGTCCCACAAAATCAGCCACTTGCACCTGTCTCCTCATCCCAGCACCAGCATTCGGGCAGCCCCCAGAGCCAGGATGCTGATAGGTCACTTTCACAGCCTAAACTTGCTCTGGCTCCAGCTGGGCGTCCTCGCCCCACGACACAGGGCATCGCCCAATCCTTGGACCCGTTAGCAGGGAGCTCAGGAGAGGTACTTCGCCCGGCTCGCCAGGGCCAGGACAAGGATTCCCAGAGCAGATACGAGGACAACAGTACAGAAGTTGAGGCCCCGGATGTCCAAGACCCCATGCACACCTCCCGCGCCAAGGATGCCACCCCATCCCTATCAAAGTACCATCAGGTCGCTTCTCCTGCAGGGACCGGCGAAGAGAGACCTCAGCGTGGCCATGCAGGGGCGTCCCCGAGATCTAGTAGGCCTGGCAATTCCCAGCCTCGTACCCGGATCCCAGGCAGGGCCGGGGTGCAGGCCACACCAGGAAAGCAATCTGCTTATAAGAGGCCTCTACCCTCCAAATCTCTGCAGTCAGTCTCCACCGAGGAGGAGGAGGAGGACGCGGAATTTTTAAAAGGAGGCAAAGAGGACCCTCTGTCTTCCTCTGTTCCAAAATGGTCTTCTTCCTCCACCCCCAGGGGCAGTAAATACCCAGATGGGACCCTCACCAAGGACAGGACTGCCATTGTACTGGCGCCCAGAGGAGAGAGTTCCGCGCAGGAAGAGAGCACCAACCAGGGGAAGCAATCTCCCTATGCACCTCCAGGCAGCCTCCCAAGAGCCTCACACCTCCCTACCCGACACCCTCCTCGAAGCCCCGCCACCCAAAGTTCCATCCTGAGCACCTCTTCCTGGCCGCAGTATACTACTCGCGCCCCTCCAAGTTACTACTCCACCACACCAATGCTCTCCTTGCGACAGAGGATGCAGCGCAGATTTCGCATTCCTGGCTCACGCCAGCCTGCAAAGCCCTCTTATGCACAAGGTAATTGATCTTCAAAACAGCAGCCTCCCTCCCACCTTGTCAAAGAGTTCAGTAGTGTTCATAGCACTATTTTATTGGGCATCTAACTACACACAAGCACTGTTTAGAGCTTTCCAAGGGTTAACATAATTTCATCCTTTTTAAATTGCCTTATAGGGATTGCATTGTTTTTCAAATGAGAAAGCTGGAACTCAGGGATACAAGCTGCTTGCTTGAAGTCAGACTACTATGAGATGTCTGAGCTGCAATTCCAGTCCCAAATACTAATTCCATGACTCTCTGTCATTCTGTTATCCCATATTGCCTCTCTGAATCCTTTAACACATGCTCTTAATCTGTGAAAAATATGTCACAACCACGAAGTTCTTTTTGTTTTTATTTGCCAGTATATAAGGAATAAGCAACAACAAATTAGAAATGTATACAAGTTAATTTTGTTCTTATAGTCTGCATACAAAACTGTCAACCAAGCATACTGCAGGACAAGTTCAAATATCTAGGATTTGAATTGTTCAGACATTGTAACTAGCGAGTGTTGTCTGAAATCTCCAGAAACTTCCATACCTTTAGTGTAGGCTAAAGACTGTTGTCACCCAAAGGAGTGAGACAAACATGCCCTTTGTGTTTTCATAACAGATGGGAATATAGACAGCTATGAACTTGGGCCTAAGTGGTTCCCAGAATAAGATCTAAGGTATTTACCATAAAATTACACTCAAATTTGAACTTTCCTTGCATAGAATTGGGGCTTCATGGAACATTATTGAATGTATAGTATTTGTTAATCTGTACAGTACTGAAGCCCAATGCAAAGACAGAATAATATCTCACATTGAGGGCAGTTTCCCATTAATATTGACTTTAAAAGCAAAGTTAAGTTGATAATAAAACTCAGTATTCCCTTGTAGATAATAGGGTCTCAGGGCATAATTAATGATAAATAAAGAAGGAAGAGACATAGGTCTTTGACCTGCAAGATAGTTGTCAGAAAACCTAAATACTTTGAGCAGTCTGTGAGGTTGAAACACTGAGCACTTCCATTTGTGGCCTCCCCTGTCTTTTGGAGGAGAAATAGAGACAGAAACATCAACTTAAATGGCAGCTACTGCACCTCCTGCTTCCTGTCTTGGTAAATATTTTCCCATCAGCGCTGGAGTTTAGGCTTTGAGATAGCATTGACATTTGTACTTGGTTAGTGATGATTGATACCTGAAGCAGCTAGAAATAGTTATCCTGTTTGGTATAATATGCCTATAGAAGCAGGATCATGTTTAGAACATTTTGGAGACAAATTTTTCTTCTCTTTCAATCTGGACAAGATACCAGATGCCCAACATTTTTTTTTTTCTTTAAAGAGAAAGAAACAAAAAAAAAAAAAATACATAGAGATAAAAAAGGGTAGAAATAATACAGAATTACAGAAAAATAAATGTTAAGAAATCGCCAGTTGATAAGTTACATATTGTCATCTTAGAAATAGCTGTTCAGGTTACAATACATGTATATCTACATGTATATCTATCCTCTCTGTATTATAGGGGAAAACAAATCATAACTAGACAGCAAAACAAACTCCTAGAAAAACATGCAGTGAAAAAGACACATAAGACCACAATATTAGGTGATCTACCGTAGTTACTATGCTTTCTCTTGTTATTTTCCATAGTCTTGTCCACATCATCGGACTTAATATAGTTGAACATTGTATTACCTAGCTATTTTTATAATAATACCACTTTGAAAACATTGTAGGACCTTGAGAGCTGTTAATAATTAATACTGGTATGGATATCTTTTACATCATGTCATCTTCAGAGTAGTTGCCTCTACTTTTAGGGTTGATATTATCAAGCATATCAAATTCAAATAAAATCAGCCAAGGCAAAACCGCGGTCTTATGAATCGTATTCAAATAAGATCAGTCATAGTAAGACAATATAAGTAGTACAGGATTTCAGCTCAAGTTAATAGGAAATTAAGGATAGTTACCATGGTATAACTTGCTATGTTTGGGTCAGATGTCTGTGACCTCAAATCCAATATGAGTGGACAGACCAGAACAAATTAAATTCAAAACTAAACAGGGTGATAAGACTACTGTGACTTTTAAATCCTGATACACTATTAACAATGACCTCTGCCTTTTTTTGTAGTGTATCAAAGCTATCTATACTAAAGCCTTCAGCTTACTGTTTCTGCCTCATGTCTGCTACTCTACTGCTATAATTTGTCCACCTTACTCCCTCTTTCCACTGTCTGCCCCATTCATTGAGGCCTCTCTGCCACTGTTGCTGGAATGCTGGTATCCCTTCTTCTCTTTCCCTGGAATGTCCTTCAGCACTCTCTGTAGGGTTGGGTTGGTGGCCATGAATTCCTACAGTTCCTCCTTGTCTTGGAAGCATCTTATTTCTCCATTAATTTTGAGAGAGAGTTTTGATGGGTATATGAGTCTTGGTTGCATATTATTTTCTTTCAGGACTTGGAATATTTTCCCCCATTCCCTTCTTGATTTAAGAATTTGTGTTGATAAGTCTGTTGTTATTTTGATAATTTTCCCATTGTAGGTAATCTGCTTTTTTTTTCTCTGGCTGCTTTTAATATTCTGTTCTTTTGGTGGATTCCTGGAATCTTGATTATTATATGTCTGGGTGTAGATCTGTTTTGGTTGTAGGTAGCTGGTGTTCTGTATGCCTCTTTTATCTGGATATCATTTCTTTTTGCTATACATGGGAAATTTTGCTTTAATATATCTGTGAATATGCTTTGTATTTCATTTTTGGTTGCTCCTGCTTCCTCACTCACATTCTTTATTCTTAAGTTATGTATCCTTTTGTCATCTTCTAGCCTTTGGATTGTTTCTTTCTGGTTCCTTGCTATTTTTAAGAGGTCTTTTCTTTCACGATCATATATGTTAAATCTCTCTTCAAGTTTCAAAAGGCTGACTTTAGTTTCTGTCAAGGCATTTTGCCACTGTTCAATGGAGTTTTTAGTTTCCTGGTAATCTCTTTGGATCTGTTTCATGTATTCTAAGTTATGTTTAAACTCTTCTTCAGAAGTATCTCTTTCTTTTCTGATTTCCTCAGTTCTTCCATCTGTGTTTTCTTGGGTGGGGCTTGTCATTTCTTTAATTAATCTCTTTATATCTTGCCTCACTTGGATCAGGAGTACTGCTTTAAATTCATCTATGAGGTCATGGAGGTATTTTTTTATTTCGGCTAATGCTGTGTCCAGTATTGGAGGTTACTGTGCTTGTTCTCTTCAGTGTTTACTTCTCCTGGACTTATTTTCTCATGTTGGGCAGCTGGAGATACTTTTTTTATTTCTATCTCTTGGCATGTTTCTGGCTTCTTTAAGACTGGAGTGTTCTGGGGGTCTGTGGCCCTCCCCATATTGCTTAGGGCCTTTCAGAAGTGTGTTGACTTGAGTTTTTGCTGTCCTCCCCAATTTGCTGTTGTCTGAGGTAGTCAAGGATGCAGGGATGGTGCAGGCTAGCCTCCAGCCTCTGTGCCAGTCAATCTGCAAATTAGGCTGTACTTTGTGGGTGTCACAGAATCATCACTATTTTGTATCTGCTTATTGGGTCCCAACCAGAGGCTTGGTTCAGCCCCAGCAAGTCCTGCCAGTTCTCTCTGTGCCAAAAGCAACTGGCTAATGTCACCATGGTACAGGGCTCTGCCCAAATCCCAGCTGTCCTCTTCCAGACCTCTCTGTGCTAGGAGCAACTATGTAATGTCCCCGCTGCTGCGGGTCTGCCCAATTCCAAGATGTCTTCCACTAGTTCTCTCTATGTCGCTGATGCCGATATGGCACCAGGCTCTGCCCACTTTCAAGATGTCCTCCACCAGACTTCTCTACACCAGGGGTGACTGTCTGATGTCACTGAGCCGCGTGCTCTGCCCAACTCCAAGATGTCTTCCACCAGACTGTCTGTGTTATTGATGTCGCTGTGGTGGCAGGTTCTGCCCAATTTCAAGATGTCTTCCAGCCAGCCACAGCAGCCACAGGACCCAGTCCCCAGTACTCACCAAGACTCAGTGCAGGTCTTCTTCTTGAGTCTACTGCACACTATGCCACTTGCCTTCACTGTATTCCCGACACAGTGCGGAACGGTCAGAAAACTGCACGGTGCCCGGCTTCGGAACTCTGGAGTTTCTCACAATCTCCTCCGGCACAGCCGGGCAGCCCTGGCTGCTTCTCAGGGTCCCAGGTCTCAATTTCCAGCAGTCACCAAAAGCCAATACAGCTTTTCCTCTTGGGTCCACTGGTCAGTTTGCCGCATTTAAGGCGTGGGATTTGCAGACTCCCATTATCATCCATCACAGTCTCAGCACGACCTTAAATCCTCCAGCCATGTCTTGGTTAAAAAGAATCATTATGCATTCATCTGGCCCTCTCCATGTTGTCATATTCTAGCATCTAATATGATTTCTCTGGAGAGACTCTCCGCCCAATCCCCTAGCAAGCCGCCATTTTTGAAACTCTAACAACAGTATCCAGATGCCCAACATTAAGGGAGGAAGAGTTTATTTAGCTTAAAGTTTGGGAAGTTTCAGTCCATAATTGGTTGGCTCTAAGGCAAGGTGGCTTGACATAATTAATGGCACTCACAATGCAGCAAAAACAACAAGGGGGACACAAAGGAATGGAATCAAAGTAAATCCAAAATCCAACAGGGCAAACATTAAGCCTTGTAGTTCCATGTGCAGCATTTGAGGCAATCTGTGGCAAGTTGTGAATTCCAAATAGCGTGGCTGCACTCTTATGGCATTTCCATTGGTTGTAGCTTTTATGGCCTCTCTCTTGGATTGGCTCTGCTCCCTCCTTGCAGGTTTCCTCAGATGATCCATACTCCTGGGTTCTCCAAACTTCTGGGGTCACTCTCAGGGGCACACTGCCTGGACTCAAAGGCATCCTGAAATCTGGATGGAAGCCTTCCTGACCCCACAACTCTTCCATTCTACATGCATCTAAAACTGGTGCCACATGGATGATGCCAAGGTCTGCTGCCAACAAGAGCAGTAACCAGGTTTCTTGGTCTTTGCCTCTGTCTGTCTGTCTGTCTGTCTCTCTCTCTCTCCCCGCCTTTCTCTCAGCTGTACAGGTCACAGAGCACTCTGAATCATTTTGAGGAACAAATTCTCTTGGTTGCTGCCTTCCTAGAACATGGTGCTCTGGTGGTTTCTTCTCAAAACAAGGTCTTTTACTTTTGCAATTTTGGGGCTTCAAACCTCAGGCTATCCTTTCTATTCTCTTTTTCCCCTCAGTAGTCAAGATTTCCTCTGCTCTGTTTTTGCAGTCCATAACTTCCTTTCCGGCCAAACTTGCAATGTTTTAAATCATTCTGCTGGGCTCTTTGCTTTTGATTCTCAACATAAATCTACTTAAAAACCCTGCCATGCCACTACTTCAACATTTGATTATTTTGAAATTTCTTCTGCAAGATTAAATAAGGCATAACAAGATCCTGTGGAGTTCAACAGCCAGTGCAGTCCTTCTTCCCAGCAGAAACCTCTTGAGCCTGATCTTTACCAGCAGGATTTGTCATCATTCTGATCTCCTGAATAGCCATACAGAACAGCCTAAGATGTTCCAGCTCTGCTTTTTTAGCTGACATTTCCAAAGCTTTCCAAACTTTTCCCATAAGCCATTCCCAAAGGCTCCTGAACCATATGATCAAGTATAGTCACAGCAATGACCACACTTCTCTGCTACCAAATTCTGTCTTAGTTACACTCCTCATTGTTGAGACAAAATATTCAACTTCCAAAATCAAAGGAAGAAAGGTTTATTTATCTCACAGTTTGTATAGGTTTCGATCCAAAATTGGCTAGCTCCAAGGCAGGGTGGCCCATGGCAGGGGCAACTGTTCCTGGCAGCAGAAGACACCAAAAGCAAGAGAGAGAGAGAGAGAGAGAGAGAGAGAGAGAGAGAGAGAGAGAGAGAGTTCTTTCTGTCCTTTATATTGTGTCAAGTGTTCCAGAATTAGGGTGGTGTCAGTCTAATCAGGGGCTGATCCAGTGATCACCCACCCTTAATCCTAGCATCACATTATAAATCAATCACACAATCTAGATTCAACCATCTCTGAGAAAGCCACATTTAAAAGTACATGAGGCTTTTGGGGAACAGTTAGATACAAACTATAATAATGCCTCTCCCTACAGCTTTTAATTGGCTACAATAAAGCCATAGCTACTAAGGTTTTTACCTCTGTATGGAAAATTTACTTATGTAGCATGTTTTTGTTATCTAGAAAACTGTGATTTTACTATATTTTTAGTAAACATTCTTATTTATCGTGTAAAAATTTCACTATAAGGCTGTTGTTACTTAGCATATAGGAGTTTAGTAATGTTTAGTATTTATTTGAAATAATATGATACAGTTTAAGCTTTGAATGAAATAAACAGGCCAGGAATGTTGAATTTATCAGATTCTGTTATGTTTTAAAACTTTTTAATTTTTGCACTGTGCAGGTTATAACGGCAGACCCAATGTAGAAGGGAAAGTTCTTACTGGTAGTAATGGGAAACCGAATGGACAAAGGATTATCAATGGCCCTCAAGGAACAAAGTGGGTAGGGTAAACTTATTTACACATTTCAGTTATTGGAGAGAAAAATGATAAATACCAATCCAATAAATGAAGTGCTTTTATTTCCTTTTCTTCTCTGGTTTTAACCACATGAAGATACTTGAATGTGGTTTCTTTCAAGACCCAAAAAACATTTGGTTCTCTTTAGTAACTACTATGTTAATCTCACAGCTAATCAATGAGGCCTGGGTCTGATTTCCAGTTGCTTTAATTGATAGAAAATTTAAACAAAAGTGTGGCCCAACCACAGAGACTGATGGATGGTGTCTCAAATGAACTTATGTTTTCCCTGCTCTTCTGCCTTTAATTGATTTGCATTTTTATATTATTGTTTGATTAACTATTGCATGTATTTTCTGATAGTTTTCTCGTCATTTATAAAACAAAAATCTCTAAATCAAACAGACAATTTTTATTATATTACCTTTAAAATTATCCACTAATTGTCTACATAAAATTAAAAATATGTGTTAGTATTTTATGCATGTTTAAATGACCTTTTAAAACCTCTGCCTGGGGGCAAGATAAATATTTAGGCTATTATTATGGGTTGAGGGTAATGGATAGAACACAGTGTTGAGGTCCTATCTTTATTCTTTGAAGAATAAAAAGTAATTCTTAATGGAATTCCCAGTCAACACTTTACATTTGAAATGGCAAGGTGTAGGAAAACATATCAAATAAGATTGTGAAAATTTTAATCATAGGTAGTCTTAAGATGCATTTTACCATTCCTCAAAGGAATAGAATCTATAGTAGGAAGAATGCAAATTAAAACAAGAATGTCTTTGTGAACAATTTTTAATTGAAGTGATATAGAGTGGACTTCAAAGGCAATATTTATATAGATAGATCTTATTTTTATTAGCAAAATAGCAACCCCAAAATTGGCTGCTGATAGAACTTTCTCCCATGACCTGATTATGCTGGGCAGTGGGTTTCAAATGTGAGCTAGCTGAGAGCCACTATCAAATACAGGCCTGGGGTCAGATCAGGTGATTTGAGTATCTGATGAGTTTCCAGGTGATGGGGAGGCTGCTTTCCTGAACCACGATCAGAGAATCAGTAGTGAGCATCATGAGCTTGTTTCTTCATAGAGATAATATTTTCCAAAGTTTTACTGAATATAACATTTTACTATATTATGGAATATTATTAAAACTAGATAGCTTTAAATGTAATAATAAAATTTTAATTTGATTTTAAACTTACACAGTAAAATGCAAACATCATATACTTTTAAGCACTAGCAATACATGCTCATTGCAAGGTGTTAAATACTTCAGAAATATGTGTGAAAAAAATAAGCATTCACTATTAAAGATAACCACTTTAATAGTTTAAGATGCGCCTTCCATAACTATTTTTTATATATAATATGAATATATTTTTGTTTTTTGCCAAATAATAAGTATTGTAATTTAGGTACACATCAATATATTTCAATATGTATAGAATTCCCATATCTCTTTTATTTGCTACGTATTTATTTTGTCTCTTCTCTCACTTGCTGGATCCTTAGATGGTGTCTTACTTTTCAGCACAAGATCCACTTTATTAAATGTTAAAAATATTTTGAGCATCTTTTGTATACTTGAGAAACTCACAACAATTTGCATGTTATATGAGTAAACAGTTATAATATGAAATATGACTGCTTTACCCTTTGTTTTTGAAACTTTGCAAATAACAAAAAGAATTATTTCCCACTCACATTATGGTTTCCTTCTGTGGGAAGCTTGCATATGTGCAAGTAGCTGGGTTACTGTGATCATTTCAAAATGTTCAATATATTCTTTATCTGTGCCATGGTTTAGGTTGTGGATTTTGATCGTGGGTTAGTGTTGAATGCAGAAGGGAGGTACCTCCAAGATTCACATGGAAATCCTCTCCGAGTGAAACTGGGAGGAGATGGTCGTACCATTGTGGGTAAGCAATAATAGGTTTTAAGGAATAAAGTTGTATTGAATCAGCTGTAGAATGTTTTCCTCCTCCTCCTCCTCCTCTTCCTCCTCACTTTTAATGGTGTTCTTGATCATCCATTTACTTTTAGCCATATGAGAAGAAGATTCCCAAAAGAAGCAGCACTCAGCATTTCTCTCCCACAACTTTAGCTATACTTTTTCTGAATACAACACTCTTTAGAAATGTGTTTGTTCTTGAAACTGGTTCATTTAGAGCAGGAGTCTGAAAACTATAATCTATGGGAAAAATCCTATCTACAGCCTGTTTTTGCAAGGCCTATGAACTCAGAACAGCTTTTGTGTTTTTAAATGATTGAGGAAGAAAGAATATTTTAGACATGTGACAGTTGTATCAAATTTGTACTTCAGTGTCCATATACAAAATGTTATTGGATCACAGAAACATTTATTATGCATCATGTAATTCATTTGTTAGGTATTGTTTATGTATTGTCTGTTTCTTTCCCTACAAGCGCTGAGTCAAGCACAGATGCAATGGAGACCATCTTTAAAGCTTAAAATATTTACTCTCTGGCCCTTTTTGGGAAAAGTTTGCCATCTTTGGTCCAAAGTAACAGTATTCTTCCTTAGGAGTAGGAACGAGATAAAAGAAGGAATCATTTCTCTTACTAGACACTAAGAGTTTTCTGGGGTCATGGGACGTATTGATGAAATATTTCTAAGTTCATGTGAGGCATTAAAGATTAATGGACTTCATAAAATTCTTGATAGCAGTAGATATTGCTACCTCAGTTGATATAATTTACATTATTTCTTTGCATTTTACTGACTAAAATATATTAATACATAGGCTTTGAGAGGACACATCCCATTTGCTTTTATTTCCTCTGGATCATTTCACCTTGTTGCATAGCTCTTGGTTGATTTTGTTTCAGATCTGGGAGGAACACCTGTGATCAGTCCTGATGGTCTCCCCCTCTTTGGGCAGGGGCGTCATGGCAAACCCCTGGCCAGTGCCCCAGAAAAGCCCATCTTGAGCCTTGGAGGGAAACCTCTGGTGGGCCTGGAGGTCATCAAAACAACCACCCTTCCCCCCACCACAACCATGCGGTCCACCACAACTACGACAATTGCGCCTACCACTACCACTCCTCGGCCCACAAGGGCCACCACCCGCCGCATGACCATCACCCGCCGCGTGACCACAACCACACGCCCAACAACCACAATCCGAACTACTATGCGGACAACTACCACCACCACCCCTGAACCCACCACCCCCATTCCCACCTGTCCCCCTGGGATGCTGGGACATCTTGATGATGGTGGCAACCTGATAATGGGCTCTAATGGCATCCCAGAGTGCTACCCTGAAGAAGGTAACCAGCTTTGTTCAATGGTAACCCAACCCACTTAACTAGTTTGCTGCGTTTCAGAAGAGGGAGGCCAAGCCTGCAGGCGAGGGGTAAGTAATGTGTATAGCAAAACAGAAGTTAGAGGCAGCTATAATTCCAGCAGCTTTGACAGTACTGTGTCACAGTCAGGGTTGTTAGATTCAGCAAGTAAGAAATATTGCACGGGACATAGATATACAAAAGTTACTTGCTGTTTATCTGAAATTCAAGTTTAATTTGGTACCCTGTGTTTTATGTGGCAGCTCTTGTCACAACCTGAATCAGAAGTATAGCTAACATTTGTGACAGAATTGGTTCAGTTAGTGTTTCCCAAACCATTTTCCATTGAATGTTAGTAAATTAGTGGTCGTTATATTTTTAAAAAGCAATACAAAATAATTCTGTGATTAACTATGTGATTTAAACAAGGTGTGATATGTTTCTTACTGTTGGATCATTGAATAGTCTCATTGTGAATCTCCAAGAAAAGCAGTGTTTGACTGATGAACTCCCTGATCAGCTTTTCTTTTGGAAAATGGCAAGCCACAAGGGGTTAGGCTTCCCATAGGGTAAGAAGTGCATCATTTCCTCTCTTTGCTGTACTCGCTCTGGGCTGTGCTATCCAGCTGTGGTTGAAACTTCGGGAAATGGGAGGTAGAAAGTGTTTATTCAGGCTGTGGCAAAGCTGACATGTCATCACCAACCTCTCTGCTCAGACCTTTGTTTAAACTGCTTTGGAAGATGCTAGATTTTTGCAACAAAGATAGTGGAGATGAATTCATCTTCTTTGCCTCAGGTTGACAGGAGTTGCAATGCTGGCCATAAAGCTTATGTCTTTTTAGGTTAATGCAGGGTAAAGACCTTCTTTTTCAGGGATCACTTTTATGCCTGGAGTTCTTACAGTGTCGCTGACTATGACAAGCCCAATCAATGTGAATACAAATGCAGTGTCCAAAATGAGAAGCCTGTTTGAAGTCATTCTTTATGTGGAAAAATGCCAATTAAACATGAAAACTTTGCATATTTAAACAGTTCAAACCAAAGCATAAAAAAGTACACACAGAAGGAAAGGACCATTCAGAAGACCTTTCACATTATTTATCCAGTGAGTACACATTTGAATTTGCTACTGAATTATCAGAATGACTTCTTCTGCATACATTAAGGTGTTTACTTTTATACACAGAAGTATAATTAAAATAGATAATCATTTAATAATTGGTTGTAAATAAAAGTGATTTAGATTTGATTTTGATTATTGTTGTTACTTTGTTTTTTATTTTACTTTTCTTTAAGCCTTATATTTTCATATGCTTTTTATTTTTGCACTTAAATTTCAAGTGAAAAATCAACATTTTTATTGAGATTTGTGTCTTTTCTTTGCAAATCATGGTCTTGATCTCTCTCTGTAAGACATATATATTATATATAATATATAGTGTACATAACATTATATATACATATATAACTTGTATTTATTTGGATTCTCTAATCAAATCCAAAGAATAATTTGCTCCCAGGCATCCCTTTAAAAAAAGTCAATATAAAGTCTTGCATGAAAAAATTAAGTTTGGGGCAGCAACTTTTCACCAATAAGCTAATGTACTGTGTTATGTTATTTTAAAAATACTTCTGTATAGCCTATCTTTTTATTTCTGCTATTTCACTCACAACTTTATTAAGCATCATTTCCTTGCATTAATTCTGATTCATATATGGAAAGCTACACATATTTAATCTGCACAACTCCTTGAGTTTGGGGCAGAGAGTACATTTGATAATTTATCACCACCACCAAGGTCACAGACATATTACCATTCTTTCTCTTTGTTAATATTATTCTTTTCTTTGTTCATTTCCATCACATTTCTGGGAGTTGCTTTCTTCTCCCCATCTCTTAGTTCCCCCTGCTTTCCTAATACTCATATATTATCTTTTATCTTACATCAGCCTCAACTCACCTCCTCCCCAAATGTTTGCTCCAGTACAGCCTTATTGAAGGCACAGCATAGTCTGCTTCGTCCTTTGTTGGACTGTGTACTTTAGGGTCAGTGACAGAAAGAGACAAAGGAAGTGGATTACTAATATAGCGTTGGATTCTAAAAAACACTTGACATTTGAAAATCCGAGTCATATTGCTCTAGAAAAGCTATAAAATGCATTTGCTGTTTCTTGACTGAATGCTCTGTAAGTGGCCTTTGATGTGCAAAAGTTCTTTCTGTGAATGCATCTTGACACTTAGAGCAGAGAAAAACTGTCAGTAAGGCTGGGGTATTAGTTAGGGACCATCCCAGGTCTCCCCCAACGTACAACCTGTAGAACCACCTGCATGCCATCATCATCACTGGCTCTACCTCTTGTATTTGTGTGGGTATAGTTCAGTATGTTCACAGATGTTAGAATCCCATATGTACACAACCAGGATTTGATGAGCAGCATCTTGGGTGTGGCACTTTCCAGCCCAGGAGCTTGAAGTGTTTGTTGTTGGAGTGGTTATGATTTGGTACCTGCATTAGTGATCAATGAGTTCAGCAAGGGTCCTTTCCAAGTCCCCATCTAGTTCACCATTTGCCCCACTTCTTTTGTTTGTTTTTCTCTCCTCACTTCTAGTTAGGCACTTGCCATTCTGTTCCACTTGCAAAGTCTTAACATTTGTTTATAACCATCCAATCTGAAAGATATCTTTTTAAATCTCAGAGTGTTTATTCTAGTTAAATTATGTCCTCCTCCTTTCTTTTAAAACTCTGCCTTCAACTAATGTTCTGGGAATATTCTTGAGCTGTTCAGTGATTCCTGTAATTCAAAAATGTTTATGTGTACTTCCTCTTTGGTTATGCATGTCATACTTCCCTGTAGGCAAAGATGCACATTATATATCTGTTTCCTGTGTTTTATTGCCTTTTACACACACACACACACACACACACACACACACACGCACGCACGCACGCCCGCGCGCACGCGCACATGCGCATGCACAGAGATTTCTTCTTTTGATAATAAGCTCCTTGTAGCCAAGACCTTGACTCATGCTTTATCTCTAGTTCCTTATGTGTCTTAGTCACTTTCTCATTACTGGGGCAAAATATCCAACACCTGCAATATAAAGGAAGAGAGGTTTATTTTGACTCATGGTTTTTAGAGGATCCAGCCCATAGTTGGCTTGGTCTGAAACAGGAAGGGTATGGTGGAAAGGTCTGATGAAGGAAAGCTGCTCATGCCATGGTGGTCAGAAGCAGGGGGAGAAGGAAGGAGGCTGGAAGGACACCGATCCAGGTCATGCCACTAGTGGCCCACTTATTACAACCAAACCCCACCTCTTAGCAACGTGCTCAGCTTTGAACTCTCCAGTGGATTAATCTAATGATGAATATAGCAGTCTTACAGTACAATCACTTTTCAAAAGCTCAAGCTCTGAACACATGAGCTTTTTGGGGGACATCCTAACTCTAAATCACCATATTACAGCACCTAACTTGCATCTTTCTTTGAGTATCTATACAGTATCTTGAGATGTAATCATTCTCCATTTTTAAGGTGGGAAATAAAAGCCAATCACCTGTGTTTTTCAGGTTGTTTCTACACTAGATCTGATGAGACTGCATGTATTTGGAAATGTTAAGAGCCAACTCAACGTTCAAAAATTTGTAACAGAACCTCATCACATGTTACACAGAAATAGCAATCATTGTGGAAATCAGTTCTGTCCTGACACTGCTCATTCTCCCGACAGAAAATACAAAAAGAATAACTGAAATTAACTTGAGCTGGAACCACCATAGAACATAAAAATATGCTCAAGTTTCCATGGCTGTCTTTTATCTCCTTTCTCTAAACTTATACTGAGAACAATTTTTTTCCTGTTTTGTACATCTCTGGAGTACATCTCTGAAGATTTGATTCTTTAGTGGTGTTTTGAACTCATGTTTTACATGATCATCGATAAACTGTTGAAGAGAATATGCTACACTACCATGGTGGACAACTGGCAGCTACTCTTACAAGAAGAAGTTCAAGTTTTTGATGTGGATGCAAGGTGACTTGTTTTCCAAAGTTCCAAGCAGTTCATAATGGCATTTAGATGGAATGTACTTTTACTTGGAGTCAAGATGGTGCTAGTTTAGAAAACTTTTCCTGAGTTTATTTGGTCTTTAAATAAAAAAGGCATTAAATCACTCAGTAGGAAGTTCTCTTATGCCAGAAGTCTTGGCTTCACTCATCTCAAAAGTGATCTCTGTTTGCAGGTAATAGTATCATTCCTGTGACCCACTGCATGTACAATTTCAATATCTCCAGGAGCTACCCTTTATACCGGCACCCACAAAAGAAGAAAATCATGCTTTCTCTTTTGTTGTTTACCCACAATGCAAAAATAAGAGTTTACTCACCTCCGACCTGAATAAATATAATGGAAAAAATGAAGCTGAACCGATAATGAGGAAAAGTGAGAGTATGTTTCCAAATGTTAAATTGACAAGGGAAAGAATATGGTATGGAAGGAACCCACAGCAAGATAACTCCAAACTTTAGTGGATGTGAACCTGAAAATGAACTGAACAGACCCAGAAGTAATTTATCTTGGACAAAGGCATCTTGACATTGGAATGACCGGCAGAAAAATTGTTTGATAGTTTTTTATTGAAAGGTGGATAAGCTGCAGCCTATGTCCTGTTAATATTCACTGGTCCTCTCATATCATGCTGATTTAACACCTCGGGGTGGGCCAGATGCTGGGGTGTATCACAGGCCTCTGAGTGGTAGCTGATCATGGTGTAATCTGCACATGGGCTGAGCAGACAACTAAGGATGTCACTGTGCTGGGCTAGTGGATTCTGTTTTTATCACCATAAGGTTCATGATGTTCATCACACTGGACTCCAAAAAAGGCTGGTAGAAATATTACATTTGAATATCTCTGTGTAATGCTCAGTAATTTCCTATTATAAATATCAAAATTGGAGCATATGATTTTCGTTGGTGAAGAGACTTTATATATCTTGTACTCCATCTCACTGTGAAATGATAACTCTCATAGAGCATTTTTCAAGTTTATAAACAACTGGATTAATTACTTCAAGTTGTGAAATAGAGAGACAGTTTCATGAAGTGTAAAGTACATAGTCTTTGGAGTCAAAGAACTTGTTAAGTTCAAATTCTGCCATTCATCAATTATCATTTAGACTTGTAATTCCTCTTAGACTCTCGCTATCCTTGTCTGAGAAGTGGGTACTATAGACCTGACATCACTTAAGGCTATTTTGGGAAGACAAACTTAACTAGTGTGTGAAAGTATCTGGTATACAGAAGGTATCCAATAAATTGTAATTCCTTCCTTTCATTATTCTCCATCATCACTTAAGAGAGGATTGTTTAGAATGCTACTCCTGTGAGCTTCAGATCAAAAGGAAGGAAGGAGCTCCCCTGAGCTTTTTGAGTTAGAAACTCTTCTGCCTCAAGATTTTATTAACCATAGCAAGATATCTTTTCTTTTATAGCTGCATCTATTTTCCCCAAGTACAGAAATAATACAATTCATTCTGTCACACTTTCTAAAAAGAGTGTCTGCCTAAACTATCCAGATAATGGAACCAAAATACCTTCTTTTGCTTAAATCATTTGGCTTTCTTTATCCTGTGTTCTTTGTACCCATAATATCAGTTCAGCCATTAAGGAAATGTTAGTAGTAGTTCTCATAATTAGGTTTCTTGAAAGACTCTTAGAAATCTCAGGTAAAATTCTACAAATTGCATTGAAAGTACAATTCTGTAGTTATACTAGATCTAGTGTTAGTGAAGCCTAAGCTGTCTTAAGAGAATTTTCTAGTCACTAGTATATCCTTTCTAAAGTTCATCTGTAAGTTAAGGAATCTGATTAGTACTGATTTAGCTTCTGATTTGGTGAGATAGGCTGAGGGTTTAGAAAAGGAGAGAGGCACAGGGAAATCCACTGGCACAGTTTGCCAAAGCAGAGAGTATAGAGGTAGGAAACTGAGCTGTTTCTAGAATATTTCAGAGGCAAAACTGAGGGGTAGAGAGAAAGGAAGTTGATGAATGGAAGGTGAAGATTAATGTCACCATCCTGAGTGCCAACTTCTCTCTCTCCATAGCTCTGTGTGTGTGTGTGTGTGTGTGTGTGTGTGTGTGTGTGTGTGTACAGACTGTGGTACAGTGACCATACAGTGCCACTGTGGGCAAATGAGCAGAGGGCCAAGGTGGCAGCCAAGGTAGCAGAGAGAGCTCTGAGTCTGGGACCCTAGATCAGTGAGGTGCTCTTTCCTGGTCAGGAGAGTTCTTGGATTGTTCTCTTCTGAGCCTAAAGAAAGTGGGGCACAGCCTCCATCTCAGTGTTATGGAAAGCTGAGGAGATGCTGGCCTTGGTGGCTTATTTTCATGGTCTGCTGAGGGTCAGTGAATCTTTATGCACTGGGGCTGGGGCACTGACTGAGGAGCACCGAGAAGAAACTTGGGCATCTGATAACCATCCCTTCCCTGTTCCCTCCCTAGATGAATTCTCAGGCATGGAGACAGACACAGCTATACCCACAGAGGAGCCCTATGTCATCTATGATGAAGGTACTTAGACATGTTTTTTCCTGCTATGAGGGAGGATCTTATTTTAATTACTGTGTGATCTTTCAGAGGTCGTGCTGGAGAAGGTGATTCTAATTTCCTTCTTCCAAGTCATCGCCCATTGCATATTTGATCTAAGATAAACAGCATGCCTGGTATGCAAATATGATTTTGCAACAAGTTCCTGGAGTTCTCCCTCCTCTAATGAAGTTTTGTTGCTTCTTCCCCACCTCCATTTGTAAAATAATACAATTATTCTGGCCTCTTCAAGCTCAGCCCTTCTTTTTCTTACTCTTTTCATTTTGTTTCTAATTACATAAAAAAGAGATACTGTAAATTTGATTTCTTACCAAAGAATTTTTTTAAGTAAAGTTAAGATTGAAAATGCACTTGGACAGCGTTTGGAACAGTCTCTAATAAGTGACAATTAATTCTGTTGTTATTCATAGGAACCTGGGATGCTGTGCTTTATAAGTTGTTTTTACAGTTGAAAAGTTAAGGGGGAATCTTGTCCCCCTCTATCTGGCCTTGACACTTGGGCTTTGGATGTTCTCAGGATGTATTTTGCCTATGCCATCAGCCATCCGTAAGCCTGATTGTCTTAAGTCACAACTGTGTGAATAATGTCACTTTTGATGCTTTAGTGATTCATAATGAAGTTTGATACAGTGCTTTAATCCCATCAGTTTTCAAACTAAAGCTGACTTAAAAGAAAAAAAAAAAGATAGCAAAGAATTTCTTAGCTCCTTTGAAAGTACTAGCATCTTTTTTAAATTATCCTTGAACAGTTGAAAAATAAAGTTTTCTTTTTTAAAATATGTTAAAAAGATAAATTCTCTCAAGTTCTCTTAATAGTATTAATTTTGCCTTTTCCCACAAAGTAAAGTACACACACAGAAGATAGATTTTAAAAAAATTAAAGCATTTTTGGATGTGATCTTTTATGGCTCTAAAAGGGAAAATTTAGGTTAAAAAATGATGACCTTGTGCCAGTGATGTGATTGGATAAATTGCAAGGCTCTTTTCAACTCTGATCCTAGGACCTCATTTTCATGAGCATATGCATTTAATTTTTATCTTCCTCTCTTTTTATGTGCAACTGCTTTTCTGCAGGAACCAAAATGTAGAGAGAGAATATTTTAGTAAAAACAAATTATGTTTAGGTACCAATTAATTTAGGGTGTGTGTGTGTCATGTACACTTGGTTGAATCTACAATTGAATCTTTTTTTAAAGAACAGAATACATTCATTAAGAGAAATAAAACTTCTGACTGAGAGAAAAAGATAGATGGGGTCTCAAGGGGCTCTACAATTGAATCTTAAGAAAGTATCTTTTGACTGTCAACACTGCCCCTTTTTGAAAGTGTCTGATTACAAAGTTCTTGTATCCTTTCAGACTATGAATTTGAGAGCACAAGACCACCAACTACTACCAAGCCCACCACCACGCCCACCACCACGCCCACCACCACGCCCATCACCACGCCCACCACCACTGCCGCTGCACTGGAGGTCATCCCCGAGGAAGGCTCCATCAGTTCTTTTCCTGAAGAAGAATTTGATATGGCTGGGAAGAAACGATTTGTTGGTACGTATAATTTGTTATTCAGAGAAACATGGTTTTTAACTTTTGCCCTTTTAAAAAGGAGCGTAACTAATCTCTTGGTCTGGCCAAAGCAGTGCATTTTGAGAAAAAATTTTCCTGGAGTGAAGTCTCCTTTTGGGGTAATTTAGCCAGTCATTCCTGTTTAGATACATGCACATATATTTTGTGCAAAAATCAGAAGAAGGTTGGGGGCAAACACTTGGTGTTCAATAACGGAATTTAGTGAGGAACACATACAAATCATCAAGACCAGAGAATGAGAGTATTTTTATGGTAGCCAGTCTTTGTAAAATAAGAATTACTTATCTCTAGGCCTTGTCTGTATATTTGTGAAATTTTCCCTAAAAGGTTAGTAGCTTACTGAATGGAGTCACTAGCAGAGAGTTCATCATAGAACTATATCTATTTTTTTTAGTTACTTTGTATAATTTTCACTAGCCTCAAGGACTTTGGGTCTAGAAATTCATTTTACTTTCTTTCTCAGCAATTAAAACTGTCAACAGGAAAGTCTGTGTGGTTCCAATATGTTTCATTTTCTTCCCAAGTCTCTTTTTTCCCAGGCCTCTGATGAACTCCACCAATGAGTCAGTTGGATGAATATGTTACTAAGTGGAGACAAGCCACAGCTTAAATTAATATTACACTTTTTTGTTTCCAAAACAAGTGTCCTGCCATGAGCAGAGAACAGGTTTTGCCAGCCAAGATGCAGTGACTGAGTGTGTAAACCTCGTATACTTGATGAGCAAGCCTATGCAGTTGAGGTAGCATTCCTGAAGCCCATGCCAGTGCTTGTCCTGGTGAGCAGCAGCCCAGCTGAGTCCACCCAACGCTCAGATTTTCCTGAACAGTTCTATGGCAGAAATGGCAATGCTTTCATTGCTATTATTAGTTCAGTCACAGAGCTCTTTTGAAGGCTGCAGCATTTACTATTTTCTGACTTTTCTTATGTCTATAGTTCTGTGGAGAATAGTAGCCTCTTAACCAAAACTTCCTGGAGAGATCCATGGGCAAGACTAAAGGCTCCATTATTGGAAAATGGAACAGTGAAAAAACTGTATCCAGTCCTAACAGCAGTTGAGAATGAGAACCTAGTACCAAAAATGTAAAGGGCTGTTGAGTAGTTACCAGACATTGTTCTTGGAGAGCACTTGAGTTTCCCATGTATAAAATCTGAACCTCAATTCCTTGGCATTTCTTTAAAAGTGGGATATAAAAAAGTGAGCTCTGAGCTGGAGGCAGAGAGTCTCCTGTTTAGCCTTTGCTTTGGGCACATTCTCTCATTCAACTGCATCAGTTGCAGTGGGTAGTCACCCATGTCCTCCTGCCTGAGTCCAAAGCCCCTTGTCTCTCTGGAGATCAGATGTGTAGGAAGGGCTTCAGTATGTCCATAACTAGCATTCCATAACTGTGAGTACCTATTGGACTGAGCAATGATATGCAGAAGACTGCTTGGACCTGACCTTATGTATAGAATCCCAGAGAGTTACGGGGTTTGTGAGACTCAGGGGGAAGCCACCTAGGATTGAGACTCAAGGCTGTCATCTTGATTGGTGAGTATTTTTCTCTAGTTCCAAGAAGGTCAGGGAAATATAATGAGAGACTGTTAGTTGACTTTAGGGTGAGCCTGACTCACACTTTACTACATGTTTGGGCATAGGGATAGTGGAATGCTACAGGCTCTTATTACATTGAATTACAGTCTGAGAGTGTTTCAAAATCACTTAGAGGACGCAGTCATCAGTGTTGATGGGGAAATAGAACGCAACCACCAGACTGAAAAGTATGAACATGTGGATCTGTGTAGGAGAGGAAAGATGTGTTTTTGAGTTTGGCGTCAGGATGGCTTGGGAGCCTCTGTCTGGCAGGAAAAAACTGAATGGTGGGTCTGACTCCATGGAGCAGATGCCTTCTTTCTGCTTACAGAAAAAGCCTGTAGTATTCTAATTGGGTATCTTTGTTCTTTTCTAGCTCCTTATGTAACATACCTGAATAAAGATCCATCAGCTCCATGCTCTCTGACTGATGCGCTGGACCACTTCCAAGTAGATACCCTGGATGAAATCATTCCGAATGACTTGAGGAAAAGTGACCTGCCTCCTCAGCATGTCCCACGGAACATCACTGTGGTTGCTATGGAAGGCTGCCACTCATTTGTCATTGTGGACTGGGACAAAGCCACCCCTGGGGATGTGGTAACAGGTGTGTCCTATGCAGATTTTCAGAGTTCCCATTGATAGATAGAAGAGAAACATAGACAGTTAAAGGTGGATAGATGCCTAGAGGTATGTACGATGAATGAGTTGAATAGAGACTGTAGGTACCTTTTTTTTAATAGAGAAAGTGTAGGCAACAATGAAAGCTTCACTGCTTGCTGTAAAGAGCTCTGGAAGGAAGTCAGAAGTTTCGAATCCTAGTCCCAAATAGGTCTGCATCATCTTGAGATGGCTACTTCTTTTCTTTCTCTCTTGATTTTCTCATATGCAAAGTATCATTACATCTCTAGCATTACGCAGTCCTAAAAGTGACCAGTGAGTCCAGGGAGTCATTTGTGAGATCAGATCCTGTAGCAAGAATGATAGAGATTCTACTAAACTATAGTTCTGCCTCTATCCCTCTTTCTACATGGCTGGCTGTTCAGCTTGAGTTCTTCCTAATTCCTCATGTGGGAATAGAAATGAGGCAAAACAGCCCATAAATATTGACCTTTCAGGCATTGGCCCATGAGATGCTGATAAATACATGTGTCTATGAGGTTAAGTCTGCTGAAATAAGTTTCAATAGAAAGAGAAATGATATTTTCTGGGGATAATCCCTTCTTTTGCAAATGATTCTGTCCGGGCCTGTGAGTTGTGTAAGAGCGAGGTATGTATGTGTGGCTGTGTGTGTATCATGAGCTGGGGAGGTGGTATTGAGGGTTGGATCTGAATATTATCTGAATATTATACCACTATCCTGCTAGTGTAATTCATATAGTTCTAAATTTCTAATGTTTCTGCTGTGTGTCCTTAGTATTGTCTTTAAAATTAGAAAAAATTACCAAGAACGTCCAAAGAGCAATTTTTCTTGGGGAGTTTGCATAGGGGCCCCAAAGCTAGGGGACAAACTGAGGGAATAATGCTCCTGGACATTCTTTCAGATGTGGTTGAAGGACTGAGGGGCATAGGAAGAATGTAGGATTAGGGACTTTGAGTCTTTGATGTACTCATATGTTCTGCTTACCTCATGATGTGAACAGAGACCAATTTCTATGAATATTTCTGCAGGTTCTTTTTTTTTTTTTTTTTTTTTTTTTTTTTTTTTTTTTTTGTCTTTTTTCCTTTTTATCGGTACTGGGGATTGAACTCACGACTGCCTGCTTGCAAGGCAGGCGCTTATGCTACTGAGCTAAATCCCCAGCCCCTTCTGCAGGTTCTTAAAAGAAAGAAGATAAATCTATTGAAGGAGGAAAGCTTATAATCAAGGCAATCAGAGAATTCCTTTATTAATTGAATATGGTTTTATGAGTGACGATTTGTAAAAGCAAGCAAGTAAGCATGTAGAAAAAAGAATGGAAAATCCATGTGTGTGTGTGTGTGTGTGTGTGTGTGTGTGTGTGTGTGTAGTATTTATTTTGAGACAAGGTCTTCTATGTAGTTCAGACTGGCTTTAAACTCGCTGTGTAGTAGGCTGGCCTTTAACTCCTGGCAGTCTTCCTTCCTCACCCCTCTGTATGCTGGGACTACAGACATGTGTCACCATACCCAGCTGAAAATTTTATTTTGAGTTTCTTAACCCGTGAATTCTTGTTTAACAGTTATTTCCTTTTACAAATATTCCACTTTGCTCTGAGCCCAGGCTTCTAAGAAACGTTGGCTGCAGGATGAGAGGGCTGGCCATATTAAAGGTACCTCAAGAGCTCTTGGAGCAAAGAGCAAGCCTTTGGAGACTCACATCAAAATCCTTCTGGACTTGCTTCAGATGTGATTCTCAATTATCCTGTAGAAGGTGGGCTGATGAAACACTTTCCTGTTAACTTTACCATTGGTCATTCATTCCAAGCCCCCCAAATCATCCAAGAGATTTCAGTACCCTCACATTATTAATATGCCTGATATCTAATCCAAAATGATGCTTCAGTGCCCCAATCATGAGTACAGTTATGAATGAGGCATTTATGGAGATTTCCAGCTCCTTTCAGGCTAATTATGGTGGAACATTTCAATGCATGATACCTCTGAGTATAGAAGAAAAAGAGAAGAGAGCGGGAGGTCTTCATCAGTAAGTGCACTGAGCACTGTCTCTTCTCCCTGTGGAACACAGAAACCAAGTAGATACTCAGATACACCCCCAAACTAAATAAACATGGAAAGATGGGGACTCGCAGCAGGCATTTGAACTTGGTGGTAGTGTGAGCTTGAAGTGAACTGCTGATGTTTGTTTTCTCCTTTTCTCATAAACAACCAAGTACCATATAACAAGGTGGCATCCAAGTAATATGAAACTTCCTGCAAGTAAATATGGCTACAATTAGTTACTTTCTCAATTCAGTCCACATGAATCATGTGGACTCTTCAGGAAGTATGATTCTTTGGGAAGTCAGCAGCATGATGACCCTAGTTTCTCAGGATCAGCTTGTCAGTCAACCCACTGCATCTACTTTTAGTAAGAACAACAGAGAAATCAGGAGTTATGCTGTGCTCAGCAAATAGATTAGCAAAACTCCGAAGGCTCAAAAAACAGACATAAAGATCACCACACACCAGCAGCCCATGGGAAGCGTGAGGGTCTGATGGAAGCTAAAGGTCACATAATCTGAGCTTCACCAACTCCTGTCAAAGCCTAGATTCTGTGGCACAGACATGAGCCTCAGTGCATCACTGCATGGGCCATTGTATGCACAACACATCTGCAAGCAGGTAGGGTGTGACTTCACTGTTGTCAGAGGATGAGGGGATTGTTTGGAAAGAGTAGCAATTACATTACTCAGCTTTCCATCACTATAACAAAATACCTGAAAAAATTAAATTATAAAGAGAAATTTTGATTTATGGATTTGGAGTTTCAAGGCCAATCTCAGGTAGATCTATTGCATTTGTCAATGGCAAGAGGTTTGTGCTAGAATAAAATTGCTCAACTTATGGCCAGGAAGCAAAAGTGAGAAAGAGAAAGAGGCCAGGCCATTTTTAAGGCACAACCCAGTGACCTAAGGGCCCCTCACTAAGCTCCATGTTCTACCTTTCCCAGCCGTGCCAGCCTGGGGACAAAGTCTACAAGGCAGGGCCTTTACATGGGCCTTCAGGAGACACTTATATGAACCATAGTAGCCTCACTTTGTACATTTGCACACACTATTTGTTAAAAATTATAGAAAGGTCTTTCAGGAAGCACTATAGGAAGAGTTTCAGAGTCTGGTCAACATGGTTCCTGGTCCCATTTTATGCATTTGTTAGCTGTGGTGTGATATAATTGTGTGTACCTATAGGCTGCTAAATAAAACAAAGCTTATCTCTTAGATGCATTTGATGCTGTTGATCTTCTTCTTTTGACTTTCACGACACAATTCATGTCCTTCAGCTGGCCACAGCTATAAATTCTGTATGTGCGTGCTCCCTACTGTTTCTTGAGTGCTTGGTATAGGGCTTGACAAATAACAGTTGCATATTTTTACATTGGTGAATATGAACTTACCAAAGCATTTAACATATTTATAAGGACCAGTTTATTCATAGTTCAAAATGGGCTAGCCATATATACAAACAAGGATCATAAGAAAGAGTTTAAGTAGTTAGGAGGGGGTGTTTACTTGTAATCTCAGCACTCTGGGAGGTTGAGGAAGAGGAACCAGGAGTTTGAGCCTAGTCTTGGCAACTTATTAACTTAATGAGATAGATCCTTTGTCTTTTTGAAGGCTGTGCAGGTGTCAGGGTTGAGAGCCCACCTGGATAGACATCTGTTGTTAGCAAATATGACAGGGTGGATAGGATGTAGGAAGAAGAGCTGCCTGGCTGCTGGGCTTTTAGGGCAGGCACAGACATCTCACAGCTGGAAATCAGGTGAGACTTCACCAAGTGGGCGAGGATTACTGTGAATCTGGTGTCAGTTGGCCAAACCTACTTACCAATCATTTACTGCCAACATTCTTCATTTCTTTTTGCTTTTTTTCAAAGAGCAGAAAATATTTATTGGAGGGAAGAAAACTTCCGTGTGACAGAGACAGAAGGAGTCCTCAATGGGTTTACAATATTCTTCGTTTCATGTGAAGGGCAATTATATATATATGTCTTTGCACCAGGAAATTCAGTATATGAGTGGAAGTCACTACCTTTCTCTTCTGTTGAAGATTAGATGTGATGAGTTCCAAGGAGCTGAGGAAGGCTAGGGAAAAAAAGAGAGGCAGAGAGGCAAAGAAGTAGAAGCCCACAGGCCATCAGAGAGTGTTACAATTTTGTTGCGTTCATCTGGATTGACCAGCAGGCACTAAAGTTTTGTCCCATCTGTCTTCTCTCTAGAAAATCTCCCATTGAGTTGCCTGTGTGTACTGCTTCATCCCAGTCACACTTCTATGTAACTTGTGGCTGAATTTCACTGGGTTCCTCCCCATTCCCATTTCCAGGGTACCTGGTCTATAGTGCATCCTATGAAGACTTCATCAGGAACAAGTGGTCCACTCAAGCTTCAACAGTAACACATTTGCCCATTGAGAACCTGAAGCCAAACACACGGTAAGATGTGTCAGTCATTTAGGAAACAAATAGCCAAAAACTGAAACGTGTATGTGTGTGTGTGTGTGTTAATAGATACCCATTGATTAAAATGAAGGATTAATCACATTTTTGTGAATTTTCCATTTAATTCTCATAGAATATCATTGAATGCTTTCCATGTGTCATATATTTTGCTTAGGAGTAATTACTATATATATTGCAGTTGTTAGGGTATTACATCTCTATTTTGTTGCCTATTTTTCTCAATACTACCTACCATTAGGGAAAAGAAGATTCTGTGCATTGAAAGGGAGCCAAACCAGTTTTAGTGAGCAGTGTATTGGTATTAGGCAACATAATCTTCATTAGTGGAGCAGCAATTACTAAACATTTCAGTGAACTGGTACTCAAACGCTCTGGAAGAAAATGCTTATCTACAGTGTTTTCTAATTTCTGTGATGTAAACACTCTCATCAGTGCCAACTTCAAGCTGTCACTGGTATTCAGAATTCTTGTGTAGTTCATGATTGACTCCCTCCCACAGGCTCTTACGGATGAATGCATCACTGGTGTGCTGGGTCAGTGGGCTTGTTTGGCAAAGAGCTCAGAATGGCATGCAGGTAGATCTGAAGTCCCTCATTTTTACAAAGAGAACTTGGTGAAGGTTGGACTAAAACATTCTTTTAACACAGGTGCTCAAGGGGATGGGATCTGAATAACCTAGGGCACCAAGAGGCTTCTGAACAAGCTGAGGCGTATACTCAAGACATTTTAATGTGCCATTTTAGGCTCAGTTGAACAGAACTTTCATAGTCTGTTATGAATTTAAGGATTTGACAAATGAAAAATGAGTAGTAAACCATGAAGCTGAGAAAAGTTTTCCCGACAGTAATGAAAAAAATTGATCATTCAGAGAAAACAAAAATGATAAAAATTAGAGAAATGGGGTCAACACTCATTATTATTGTGTGCAGTGATAGTGTTTTTATAGCACAACTATTAAATAAAAAACTGATATTTTGCCACATAACTGTTGCAGTAGTACTTGAATTGTAGTCTTTATCCCCTCCCCCAAGTTCAGTGCTGTCTCCACAATCTCTGCCGCCATATTGAAATTCATTGTTGGATAATATCAGAAGATAGTTGTGTAGGATGACAACTCACTTGCTTTTGCAGCAGTTACTTGTCCCGCAGTTCATCTAATAAGTTGTTCCTGAATGTTCATTCTGGGCCAGTTACCATATAAAGAACACAGAATTTGGAGTATGGGGTGAAATATTCATAGCTCTTATAGATGTTACAGTCTTTTCTCATACAGCTTACTAGAAGGGGAGACATATTTTTAGAAAAATAAACATAAATTTAAACTTTCCCTGGTTCGTGTCATGAGGGAGAAGTACACCTGCTAGGAGAGGACAGAAAATGGTGGCGTTTTTTCCTCATCTTGAGCTTGGGGGCCGAGGAGGCAGCCAGGGACTTCCTGGAGAAGTCAGGTCTAACACATAAGCAGTGATTAGGTTGGAGAAAGGCTTGTGGGGTGAAGCAAAATTGATTCTGGCCAAGGATGTCCCAAAACACGCATGCTGTAGAAAGAACAGGAGGCTCAAAGGGAGGCTGGATGGATAGTGGAGCCTCCACCCTGCATAGGCTCTTCTGATCCTTCCAGGATGTGTCCTCATTTGCTTTAGGGGTACAGAGTGCAGACTATGATGTAGCATGCTTGGCTTCTCCAACTGAAATATCTTCAAAACCCTTCTGAACAGCACCTACATTTCACAGTCAGCTCAATGACTGTGACATGAGGGCACTCATTTTTCCTGTGTTACCCGAATGCAGAGATACTCTGTGGTGTCTTCACTGTCCAGATGCACATATGCTGAGTCAGTGTCTCCTCTCGTTGTATCCCAGTCCTCCGGGCCTCTGGAGAACCAGGCCCAGAGTCAGCCCAGGACATGGGCTGTCAGTCTGCACAAAAGAGCCAGAGCCTAACAGTCACCTTCCATTGTTTATAATTGGATATTGTTTTTGCCTTGAATTGAGCATGAGCTATCTTATTCATTAAGTCACTCTTGAAAGTTTGCAAATTTTCAATCCATTCTTAGTGTACCAGGATTTGTCACCACTAAAGCAACTCAAGGAGGGTATCAAACGCTTATGCAAAAAGGAGAGGTCTGGGCTGCTTTTGTTGCTTGTATGAGGCAGAGTTAGTTGGTAGGAAAAGTGTAATGTGGTTTTGAAAATGGGAATTTTACTTGTTTCATAATTTCATGTAGGTTTTCAGCTCAACATTTTTAAATTTACTTGGATACATTAGAAGAGTCACATGGAAATGACTCTGGATTTAGCACATGGGGACTTTCTGGAGGACTAGAATCTTACAGTGTCAACAGGGAAGGTGGGATTTGGGGAATACTTAGGTTTTGGTGGTAAAACAAAATTGATACAAACAAATCCATCTACATGCTCTCTCTTAGCCTGCCGGTCATCCTTCCAATTTCACAAAGGTGCTTTCTCTGTGGATCTGGGGACAGTGTTTTAGGACAGTTCCAATAAGATCTTGCTCAGTAGAAGTGTTGACAGTGTCTTTGAATATGGGCTTTCCCTTATGTTTTAATTTCTTTTCCTGAAGAAAAAAATCTGTGTAAAATTTAATCAGCATCATTGATGTGTGCCAAAGCCACTGCTTGAGTTGCCTGCAGAGATTTGCATTAAATCACTCCACAACCACTGAATTAAGTGTGCATAATTGGGGAAACATGCCCTGTTGAGTGAATTGAGATTTGAAACGCATATGTTCTTAGTTATGTGTATCTTTAAAAAAAAGAATTGATACTAAAAAATACTGCTAAGTGAGATGTGGATAGAAGTCTGGCCTTACCAAATGGCTTTTCTTTGCTTAGTGAAACTCACAGGAAAACATCTCTGTGTACTTTCAGCCGGGGACCACCTCGGTGATCATCTCTGCTAACAGGCTGTGGCCACGACACTCAATGCAATGAGTGTGACCCTTCATCTTCTGCATCTAAAATATTCAACTTCTAAAACATTAGTGTGTTTTAATTAGTACATGTAATCTTTTCTGGGTGATTTAGTCAAGGAATTTTGGAATATTTAAATATGATATTTTTACTGGCCCAAAAGCCAGCAAAGTACAGAGGATAAGCATTCAAAAAATGTTTTACCCTGTCTTTAACTATCTGTGTGAAGTTCTGGGAGAGCCAGATGATATCTAAAATCTTAGAGATAAGGAAATCACAAAGCTTGAGGCAGATACAGTGGGTCACAACCCTAATGCTGGTCTCTGTACTTTTATAACCACCACTTTTTATCCCTTCGTCCCGGAGGGTACAAAGAAGATATTTGAGGCTTAGTGTCTCCTGATGAGGTAGCAGACACAGCAGTGGAATTTCCGGCATGCTCACTGTTCTGAAACAGGTTTTAGTACTATAGCAAAGCCTTTCTTTCTGGTCCTTTTTGTCTTTTCCTTCCTGGACTCAGTTCTCTAGCTTACAGATGCAAAAGCTCTTGAATCACTGACTTGTAAGGCACCCATTTGTGGCTCTAGAGCCAGCCACAGTGCTTGTCATGTGCTCAAGACATCATTGTGTTATTAGCTCCACTGAAGAGTCCCACACATGGCTGGGTGTGCTCTCTGCCTGCCAATTATAAGTTGCATACTGGTTGGACCCAGTATCCTGCTTTTTTACAAGGACTCCAGTGGTGAGAACTAAGCTAACATTTCAGGGTTTTTTTTGAATGTTTTGTTGCTCCAACTTTTTTTCCTGCCTGAGGAGCTCAGGAATCTGAATTTTAATCTGGATCAAGGCACATCTCCATAGGGATGAACTAGGAGGATTCTCCTGGAGTGGTGAGCACACGTTGTTCTAGGGAGCACATACTGTTCGGGCCACCTGTTTGTCTCATGCACCTGTTCTATTCCTATTAGTCATGTGTCTATGCTATGTTAATTGCATCTTAAAATTTATTAAAATGAGAAAGTTTAGAAAACTATGAAGGTCATTAGTAGTATGTATATTTGTTAAAAAAAAAAAGAAGACTCCAAGTCTGCCACATTATTGGCCATCAGAAATCTTTCTCATTGCACAGAAGTTAAATTCATTTCTCTTCAAAAGTTACTTCCTTTCAATTTCAGGTATTACTTTAAAGTTCAAGCCAAAAATCCTCATGGCTATGGACCTATGAGCTCTTCAGTTTCATTTGTCACAGAATCAGGTATGGGCAACTTCACATTCTTCTATGTTTTACTTTTCTTAAAAATGAAATAAATAATGCAGGATAATGAGTATAGCAGAGTAACAATAAAATAGCAAAATCTTCGTTTTTCTATTTGATGTGGTAATGTTGAACAGCTCTCTATAAAATAAACAGTAATTTCCTTCTGCTAGGTTAACACTTTGCATGATAAAATTAAAATTATCAGCTTCCTGGGGAGCACAAAAGTCATTCCACTGAGAGGAAAAATACATCTTTCAACTAGGTGGTAAAGATAAATCTGAGAGTATCTGTTTGTACAGAATTTAGTTTCAAAGTTTAAAAAATTTAATTGCAGACAACTAAAGAACACCATGTCAAGTGGTTTAGGGAGCGATTGTTTCTTCAATTAGCCAAGCATCTAAGATCTAAGGTCCTCTTTTGGTAGGAGATGGAAATAATTGGATCTTTAACTAAAACAATATTCACTCTTACACGCAGTACATATCATTTGGAGCATGTCCCTACACACTAGGATGCTGATGGGTAGAGCTCTTGGGCCCGTCAATAAATCTTCAGAGGCTGGGATTTTATGCAGAGCTGGCCCACTGTGACAGTCCTTAGGTTAGTGACTTTCTAACTAGGGAGTCAAGCTGGACTTGGTTGACCAGCCTTGCTGAGCCAACCCTGCATTCACAGGGCATCCAATTGTTCAGATTACTTTTTTGCATGTATCCTGATGTAGAAAACTGTCACTAGAATATATTTTTAAATACTGTGAATCAAAATATGTGAAAAAGTATCTATTATAAGAACATGCTTTATTCTAGAAATGTAGGCAGAGGACCTCAAAAGTTTTTCAACCATTTCATGTAAGAAATATGTTTCCTATTAGCAATTAATAAGAAAGAACAAGGAAAAACATTAGCTAATTTTCTAAAGTAAGGCCTATATATATGTTTATGGCTATATTTTATAAAATCAAAATGGATCTTAAGCAACTATCAGAATTAACTTGATCAAGGGTAACTTAAAAGTAATTAAAATCCAAAAGCTACCAAGAAACACAGATCTGAAATGTATCTGAGAGTAGGAAGTATGCATGTAATTTCTAACATGGCAAGTAAACTTCTGAAGAGCGAGCTCATTTCTGCACTGTCTAGTAAGAAGCTCCTACTGCATCCTATGTGGAATTCTTTGTAGAGATCCACCCCTGGGCTCTAAATAAGAATTTTAGGGATAGCATCCACAAAATTCATGTTCAGTGAGCTCCCAGGAGACCTTCACACATTCAGAAAGTCAATAATTATTTACTTAGGTAATCTTCACTGCATTCAGTTTGCTAGAGTCTCTTTCATTGTGTCACCCTTCTGAAAGTGATTGGATTGCAACAGGAAAACCATCAAGTAAGTGAATTATGACATCTGACAGATACAGCTATCTAAAAATTAGTGTAGGAAGTAAATGTATGTGTGTAACTCTGGATCTACTGTGAGGTCAGGGTTTTGTTGTCTGTGCTGCTGTTGTTTTGAATTGTTCCCTTCCACCTCACTTCAGAAGACTGGAGGCTTTTCTAGTAGACTGATAAAAGTGTTAGACATCAAGACAAAGAGGAAAAACAAACCCTTTCCCCTTGAGCTGATAGCAAGCCAAGGGGAATGTGTGCTTCTACCTACTAGCATACTGTGTCATTTCTTCTATATACTACAATAATGTTTCTATATACTAGCAGATGACACCAAATGAACTCTGTACAAAGGGCCAGCAGAATTGGGGTGATAGAATATCCCACATGCTGATTGTGGGAATCTCTAAAAATCTCTCTCTATGCATGCTAAAGTTCATAGGATACTGGGGACTGGGGATGTAACTCAGTGAGTGCCCAGAATGGGTGATGCCCAGGGTTCAATCCCCAGCACTGAAAATTTCACATAGACTAAAGGAGAAGTTTACTATATGATAAATTTTCAAAAATAAAAAATGGCATATGTGTATCTAGCCCCATTTTATAAAACTGAAATTTTCTGAAGCAAAATCACTTGAAACACAATTTTTATATTTTCTTAAGTGCTGTTATTTCAGCTAAGGTATAGATATGTTTTGAAAAGAATTTTATTATAGTAAAAATGGCATACAATAAGCTACACACACTTAAAGTGTACACCTTAATAGATTCTGAGTTACATTTATACCCATGAATTTTCACCACTGTCAAGAAAGTGAGCATATATCTGTCACTCTCATAGTGTCTTTGGCTGAGCAATCTAAGCTGCCCTCTGCCCCTGCTACCAGTCCTTTCTCTCACTGACAGGTAGCTTTTTGTCACTATATTTTGTACCTTCTAGAATTTTACATAAGTGTCATACAGTATGTTCTCCCTCAACCAGCTTTTTTCAGCATAATCATCTGGTTATTCATTCCTCTTGGTGTGTATCCAGAGTTCATTCTCTTTTGTCACTAAGTATCTCATTGTACTACTAAGCCACAATTTTTTAAGTCCAGTCACTTGTGGACAAACATTTGGGTTGCTTCTGCTTTTTGAGTTATTACAAATAAAGATGTTATAAATATTTACATACAACTTAAAGTAATTAAAATTCAAAAGGAAATGCTTTGAAAATAAAAACTAAGGAAAAACTTTGGCATCTAATATATAAAATTTTATTTTTTCTATATTCTAGTTTGGTCAGCTCTTTCATTTACAATAAATATTGCAACATTTGCATGACTGTGATACAAACTCAATTATTTCTTTCTTATTCTACAGACAATCCTCTCCTTGTTGTGAGGCCTCCAGGTATGTTTCTCTTTTTGCTGGTGTCAACACTCTCACTGTCAAGTTGAATATGGAATGTGAGATCAAAGTGACAACTCATAAGTAGAAATGTTAGACTGTTTTTGTCTTTTCATAATTTCCTGGCAATTTTTGCCCATCTTCCCTCTTATTCAATGGAAAAATGACCTGGGAAATTTTTCCTTTTTTAACTTTAAAAAGCAAAACAGAAAAAAGGGATAGAAATGATACAGAAATTTAAAAAAGTAGGTAATTAACACTAGTTAATATATTGCATATTGTTATCTCAGAACATATATAAATATATGCATGTATATGGGAATTTTTAAAGTAAAGCTACAGCAGTCAATATCTATGAAAAAGCATGGCAGGGCAGCCAAATATCTGTGGATAGATACTTTGTCTACACAACCTCTGAGAACATTTTAAAATGCTGGAAAGATAACAAAATGTGTTAAATGTACAGTGAAGTTTTACTCCCTGGTTTTCACACAAACTGCAAAAATCTCTGTTATTAAGCTTAGGCAGGTCTCCCGAGCTGCACGATGAGAAGGAGGCTTAGCTGAAGAACTTGCAGATAGGAATCTGTAGTCTCCCAGGGCCATATTTGTCCTTGTGTCTGATTCTCTTTGAACCCCAAGGCTGTCCTTAACTCTGAGAATCCCTTATTGAAATACAAACATCCCCTCACCCCGTGGTTATTTAGTATTGAAAAGAAGAGGGAAGACAAGAGGGAAAAATTGGGAATGGGAAAAATTTGCAAGGAGACATTGCAAGAAGAGAAAGGGACCGTGAATAAGTCCAGTTTGGAGTAACTTTGTATAAGAATAAACACTGTGTGGCACTGCCACTTAGAGGGTGTGCTTTGTGTTGTCAAGGTGGTGAGCCCATCTGGATCCCATTTGCTTTCAAACATGACCCTGGATACACAGACTGCCATGGCCGGCAATATGTGAAACGGACGTGGTATAAAAAGTTTGTGGGAGTTGTTCTTTGTAATTCTCTGAGGTACAAAATCTACCTCAGTGACAACCTGAAAGGTAGGTCTTTGGGGATGGTTGGATATTGCAGGTATGGAAAAATTTCACTTTACAGGTACTAACAACACAGCAGGTACATCAGAATGTACCTGAGCTATGGACCTGCTATGGTGTCCTCTTGCTGAAATAAGAACCATTGGCATAAGCTTTACTTTGAGGTTATTACTTTTTACCTTGGAAATCAAAGATAGACTTTTGAAACTCAACTGCATTATAGAAATGAAGCCCAAAATTCTGTTAGACATGAAAAGGCCTGTTTCTTTGCTATTGATCCAAAATGAGTATACAATAGAAGGATTGAGGAAAAGTCTGTAGCCCACGGTAGGAAAGTGAAATAGTGATTAGAGTACCTTGAGCTATTAATACTTCAAAATACCATTTATAGCCACCTGTCTTTGACTCACCTACCCACATCAACTTTTTTCTTTTAATTTCAAATCTTACATGGCTTTTAATTCTTTAAATATAATTTTGTAAATAAATATTTTATGCTTTCATTCAGCTGGTCTAGGTCTTGTCCCTGGTCATTTTTAATTTTTTTCTTGATAGGTAGGATAATTTAAAAATAGTGTCAGTCAGGCATATTGGCACATGCCTGTAATCCCAGCATTGGGAGGCTAAAGCAGGAGGAGCACTTTGAATTCAAGATCAGCCTGGTGTACATAATGAACTCAAGGCCAGCCTGAGGTACATAGTGAAACCCTGTCAAAAGAAAAAAGAAAAGAAAAAGAAGTATGAAAACAAAATACTCCCCTACCCACCTCCATTTCCCATTCTTACTGTTTCAGTATCTGTCTCTCCTCAAAATCACTGCATATTTTTCCTCTCTGTTCTCTTCTTTCTCTTCCACCCTTTCCCTCTCATTCTTCAGAATTTCTAGAAGAGGTTGCACAACTGTCTCTGGTATCCCAGAAGGGAGCTAGGGGAATTTTGCCCTATTGTGCTGCAATGGTTCAGGACCACGGACAGCATCTTACACTCGCCTCCTACCCTCAGTATGCATGAAATAGACCCTTCTATTTATATAGACCTGCCTGCATTTCATACTTATTTCACGATTGTCTGTTAGGTAGTTTTCTTAATTCTTTTAAAAAACGAGTGCATTAAAAAGTTTCAATCATTCGTAGGCTAAAACTACCTATTTAGTTCATACTTTCTACCTCCTGAATATTTGTTAAGTAACTGGTATACATGATCATGTTGATCCCTTATAATAATTAATGAGGTTATTACCATTATAACCATTTTCAGACATGAAAGTAATAGAAGTAAATGGATTAAGTAGTGTACCCAGTTCAAATTCTTCAAAGCTTGTTCCAATTCCTAAGCCAGCTGTAACATTCTTTGACTTGTCACTGACTCATTAAATTCCTCTATGCAGATACATTCTACAGCATTGGAGACAGCTGGGGGAGAGGTGAAGACCATTGCCAATTTGTAGATTCTCATCTTGATGGGAGAACAGGGCCTCAGTCTTATATAGAAGGCCTCCCTAAGATTCCAGGTAATATGATCAATGCTTGATATGTCGTGCTGGGCAAGGAAATGGGAGAGGAATATGTAAGAAGAAAATTCACTGTAGTTCTGCCTTCTATTTATGATTTGAAGGTGGATCTTGGGAGTTCAGATAATAAAAATATAACTGAGAAATCAAGGAATCAAAATACTCCTGCCACATGCCGGATTTGGGTGATCCTAGAGGAGTTATGGGTACAAAGGAATATATAAGATCTCTGTCTCAGGAACATGCTTTGTGACTGAGAAAACAAATGTGTAAAAAAAATAAGGGTGAAAACATTAACATATAATGACATGTTATGTCTTATGATCATTCTATTGTCAGATATTGTTTATGTTCCATTGTTGTAGGAAGGAGGCAACTACTTGAGGCTGTCAGAGATCTTTAGCAGAGGTAGAGTCTAGACCGCGTCATAAAGCCTGGCTCAATTTGCAAAATGGGGGCCTCCTTGGGGAGGATGGCATGAGCGTTAGTACAGAGAAGGCAAAGATGAACATCCAAAGGTATTCAGAAATTGGCTTCAGAGATATTTGATGATGCCATTATAACGTGAGGGCAAGTATACTGATCTTTAGGGTTAGCAACTGGTAATATATTGCTAACTCTCTCAATCCTCCAAGCAAAAAATAAACCAAATAATAGAATGAAATCCAGCACCTTTTCCATTAAGCACTCAACTCTTACTGATTTAGCATTTTTAAATGTGGGATGCGCTGCTCTACCAAGTTTCTTATTTTGGAAAAAAATATTGTATATTAATACACAAATTACTATTTGAATGAATTAAAATACCTAAAACAGTAAAAGGAGGGTATCAGGGCTCCCTGATCCACCAAGAGCATTTATCTATCTAGGATTACTTTAAGGAGTTGGCTCATATCATTGTAGAGGATGACAGCATTGAAAATCTACAAAGTAAGAAAGCAAACTGGATGCCTATGGAAAAACTGATGTTATAGTTCAAATATAAATGTTATCTGGAGTTAAAATTCTCTCTACTTTCTAGGGTTGGGGTATCAAGTGTTTTTCTTTTGAAACTTTGAACCTATTAGATGAGGCTTATCCACATCACAGAGGATAATAGGCTTTCCCCACTCTGCTTATGTACATTTTAATCTTATCTAAAAAGTACTTCATTGGTTAATCAATATGCTGACTGTCAGATTAGCAGATAGACATTTATTTGAGTAAGGAGTAAGCAAGGCGAAGACTCTATCCTCCCAAAATAAATAAGTAAATAGATAAATAAATAAATACTCTCAAAAAATTTTGAAGAGATTGGGGCACCCCTTCTACTTCAGAAGAGAAATAACCAGAAATGCTATACGATTCTCTCCTCTGAGAGATTTCCTTGAAAGTTGTGCCCCAAATTCTATGCATTAAAACTATGGAATTTTGAGATTTGGCAAATTTCAAGCTCTAAACTCAGGGAGAGCCTGGTGGGGATGTAATTTGGTGTTGTTTCTCCAAATCAGGGCCTGTCCTCAGGAAGTGCTTCTAGTTTTTGACTGAAATTCCTTTATTTTGTGAGAAGAGAGACAAAGAGGGGCTAAATTCTGCCCACAAATCATGATTCGGTAAACTTTATGAAAATGGCTATGTCTGTTCAGAAGTAACACTTGGTAAGAACAGTTTACAAAGGATTTTCTGTCCAAAAGAAAGTTTTAGGGAGGAGATATCTGCCTTTAGGTCAGGTGACCTTGATGCATCCTCTCTCTTTCCTATCTCCCTTCCAGGTTACTACCGCCAGTATCGCCAAGAGCCTGTCAGCTTTGGTCACATTGGTTTTGGCACCCCCTACTACTACGTGGGCTGGTATGAGTGTGGAGTCTCCATCCCAGGAAAGTGGTGACCACCGGACCAACCATTGCACTGCAAGTTTGCCTGCTCAGCCTGATCAACTGACTCACAATAGGGGCTGTGAACAGGAGAGAAATGGTACCCAATTCCCACTGCATCTGAGTGTCAGGAAGCCCACGTGATAGACACTGAACATTGTGGTCATCCTCAGTCTGGAATCCAGCCCCATATTTGGCATGGAACATGAACAGAATGGGAATCAGTCTTGCTAAAACTTCAATTTTCACGTTCTTTGTACTAGCACAACCCAGGGACATCAGAAGCCAGCAACTGTGCTAGTATGACCTCCAGACAATTAAGGCACAGTATTCAGACACTCCAGAATCTCCAGGGAACGACATATGCATTATGTGCTTGCTTCATAGAATGCTTTCTGTTTTTCTCATTTTTAATTCATCCAAAACCAGCTGAATTTAAGCTTCAGATCTTTTTGTACGCAGAACTGAGTAAAAAAAAATACACTTCCCAAGGAAATATATCTTCTTAGAGATGTATTCTACGGACTCACACAATGCTAGACTAAATGCATAAAATCTTATTTGTAAATTCTCAACTTTGATATATATATATATGTATATAGGCGTATACATATCCACACTTGTCTGCAAGAACATCGATTAAAAATGCTAAATTTGTACTTGTTCACTAGATAAATGCGTGCTGGACTTTTTGGATAAAGATGCTGTTTACTTGCTTCTTTTAGATGTATCCTGGGTACAGGTCTTCTGTAGAATGTAGTGCCAGTGGAAAGATGTGGACTCTTCCTGTGGGTGCTTCTGTGGGTGACAGTGGAGAGGCTGAGATATGTCTGCAAATAGCCATGATCTTCATTTCCCTAAAATACATGCTTTCTTTTTAGAAGACCACCTTTCCATATCCATGGGAAAGTTTTCATAGCTTCTAGCAATATCTATCTTCTATGTTTCCAGATGAATTAAGATTTTAGGTCTCAAGTGACTTTCAAAGCTTTGTTTTTGGAAAATTCTTTTACCCTTTCCTTTCTATCCCATATCTACTCATTGAAACAGAAGCATCTTCTTTTGCTTGACTGTAGCTATAGAGGGTTTATTCAGACCCCTTTTTGTCACTGTTTCTGAAACTTGCTGCCTTTACCCTGTGTGTGGCTCACCTAGGTCCCTCAGGAAGCCCTGTAGAATGAAGGGTTTGTGCTCTTGCATTAGGGAAGAAGCATTGGAGAAGCAGTGGTAGGATGGACTGGAGGCAAGCACTGTGATGGGACCTCTGGACTGCACCCAGTGTAAACAGCAGAGCACAGTCCTGGCACCTGGAGTTGACTATTTTCAGTGCTAACACTCTACTGAGGAGAAACCACATGTGTGTGGTAGTTTTTAAGGCAAAATTTACAAGAAAACAAATTTGCAGGGTCTTTGTGATGGGGCTGTGATGTTTGGCATCATCAAATTCCATCATTCCCTTTCTATAGCAAACAGCAAAGAAAACACAAGCATTTTGACAGCCTGGGAAAATACTAGAATTCTTTAAAAAGACAGATTGTATGTTTACCCACAGTTTACCTTGCCGAAAGGGTAGGAATATTTAAATGGCTTTGGGGGTTCTAATATACAAAAGGAAGGTTATTAAAAGAGAGAACTGAGATGAGCATTCAAATGTGCTACACAATGCCAAGCTGAAGATAAGATCTTTAAATACAATTGAATTTGTCTAATAAGCACATAGCTTAGTTACTCCCAGTCACTTCCTTCCTGTCAGTGCCCACCAACCTGGTACTGAAACCTCAACGAGGCCCTGATGGTTGAAATCATTGCTGATTGCAGATTTCCTAAAAATGTTTCTTTGAACATAAATAATTCATTTGAGTCCCAAGAGGAAAGCCTTGGTCTGTTCTTTGTGGTCTCTTTTAGGAGAAATGGATATTAAAACTCAACATAAGCATTTGCAGCTGACTTTGCAATGTAAGACACACTTTTCATCTATCAAAGGGCACAGCTCTTGTCCTCCAAAGGACTTCTAGTTTCATTTCACACAAACAGAAAGACTGAGCTGGCATTCATTCATACAAAGATTCTTGAGCCCTGGCTGAAATCGTTAGGTGGTATGCAATTATAGAAATCTGAACTTCTGTTAAAAATAAACATTTTGGTGAAGTGCCACAACCCTTAGGTAAGAGAACTGCTAAAACATAAATAAAATAACTAACCAACCAAACAAAAACCAAAAGAAATTTAAGCACAGGTAGTGCATTCAGGCACTCCAGAGAAACCTAACCAATAGGACAGATACCTAGGTAGATAGGAGGGGAGTTTTTAGGGGAATTGGTGCACATTATTGTGGGGGCTAAACTATGTTCAAAGACTTCTGAAAGCTAAGACCCTGGCATGCCAACAACATAGTTTCCTCATTTTTCTTGTATGTTGGTTTCCAGTTGATTGGATGGTTCCTATCACATTGAAGGTTGAACTTCTCCACTTAGTTCCCCAACTCACCCACTAACCTTCTCTGGAAGAAATCTCACAGACAACACCCAGAAGTAGGGCTTTACCAGTTCCCTAGGTAACACCTGGTCCAGTCAGATTGCCAGCTACAAGCAACCATCACAGGTAGTATTATTAGCAGCATTCCTTTCAAATTAGGTTATATAACAGGTAAAACAAGCCTGCAATAGCTACCCCAAATTTCACTACACATTCTGTGTGCCTCACTTTAGGAAGTTCATTGGCAGTGTGAAAACAATTTCATACCAAATTAGGTTGATTTCCATGGAGAGGTTTACCTGTAGAGAGAAAGCTTTGCTTCTTTGCAGAGCTTAGGAGGAGGGAGAGAACTTGCCAACTCTAGAGACCAGAAGCAGATATACGTGGGAATTACAGGAGAAGAAAAAATTTATCTCAGCATGAGAAACAATGTTTGAAGAGTCCAATAGTCAGATGAGCTTCGTTGGAAAGAAGCCCGTCTCTGAAAATTGTTTGGTATTGCTGGGAATGTCTGAACTTGCATCTAAGGCCCGTATGACCTGTAAGCCCAGAATGCTCTCTACATATTTAAAGTGCCATAAAAAATGAGACCAAGACAAACTAAAGCAACAAATAAGGGACAGGGACAATATGTAGTTTGTAAAATCTAAAATATTTACTATCTGGTTTTTTAAGGAAAAAAATTTGCATAGCCATGGTTTTCTTGAGGTTTAAAAGAGGCCTAAGAAAGTCTCAATAAAATACTAGTATATGTTATTTAGTAGGAGTTTGTTCTTTTTGCTATTACTTAAATTTTACTTCTTTTCTATCATCTATTGATGTCTAAAACTTGAACTCTGCATCCCATGGTTGGAGCAGGGGTCCCCATGCTTCTTGCTTGATAAGTCCTTTGCTTGTGCTGTGATCACAGGGAATATTTCACTCAGGCAGCTTTGTGCATATTTAACATTTAGTTAAAGCATAGTTTCCAGGCTTTATGAGTTTTGACTTATTTTTTCCCTTTGACCTATTCAAACCATGTATCTGGGTCAGTTTAGGAGAGTGGGAAATTTGAGAATGTGAGGAGAAATGAGGTCAGGATGTGTTTGCCTTTCTCAGCATGGAAAGCAGTTCATAGTCATTATGTGTAATTACAGAACAAATCCACTGTTAGATTCAATTCATGTGTCTGTAACTTCCTACATATTGTGGATGCCTTAAAATTGTCTTTAAGTGGGACTAAAAAGTGAATTTAGAAAGTTAAATGTCTTCTCAAGCATTCTTAAGTCCCAATTCTAGACCATACCCAACCCTATGCTATGCCCTAATCCTAGACCACGCTGCAATCCTAAATTAGGACAGGCTCAGCAAAATCATGTGAAGTCCCACAGCTCACATTGCCAGGAAGGGTGAATAAGTCAAGGACTCATGTGCAGGGCTAGAGTCACTATCTCAGGTCAGGGGATTCCATGCAGGAATGATGCTGGGGCTGTCTGATGGCTTCTACCCATATAGTCCCTTCTCCCATTCTGCATGTGCATTGGCTCATTCTCCTCCCTAATACGGTGTTTCTCTAGGCACACATGGCCCAAATGATCACTGATCCCTGGTCTACTGTGTGCAGTTGCTCTGTCTCTAAGACCTGGGGACTCAGTTTCTCTCAACCAGCTCTCCAGGTCTCTCAGTCAGACGCAGAGATCTGGGATGAAGTTCTAATAGAGTATCTTGGGTCAGGTGTGTCCACCCTGGTCCAGTCAGCTGCTCCTATGTGGAGGTATCAAGTGGTATATAAACTGGCTGCCCAAACCTGTCTGGTGAGCAGGAGATGAAGTCTGACATTTCCAGGACAAATGATAAATGAATTTATAAGAAAACAAGCCATCTCATTAGGTGATTGATCATTTTTAAGAGACATAACTTTAGACACAGTGAAAATTTCATGTTTCCTTGATTAAAGCTCCAGTGTTTCTGTGCTATTAGAGTAGCTTTCCTTCTCAAGTGAACAGTTTGATAAACATTCCCATATTCCTGAGAAAATTATGAGCTAGAGTAACTCTATTACACATTTTTCAAAGAAAAAAATGCAGGACTTTCTTGTATTGTCTGATCTTTTCAAGGAAAATTACTCTTTTTGAATAGAAATAAGATTATCAAATCCACAAAGTCTTCTACAGTACTCTGTTTCCAGGTCAATTATGAAATAAATAACCAATGTTAGAACAGAATTCCTGGAAAGGATGCAATGGATTAGCCTGAGACAGAAAATTCTTGAAATCTCTGGCCAGGAATTGGCCCTAAAGCATGCACAGCTGGGGAGTAGGGGTGTTGAGGGTAATTGGGGTTAAGCTTTCTGGACAGTTGAGATGCCTGGCTTTCTTAAGTGTAAATTCCAAATCTTTCCCATAGCCTCCAAGGCCTGCATGATATGCTCTCCCATCCCAATACTTACATCCGCAAACCTGCTGTTGGACCTCTAACTCTTGGCACAGAGCTAGGCACAGTCAGCCCTTAAAGAGCACCAGTCATTCGACAGTTATGTCAATTGGGTACATGTATGTCTGAGACGGAAGATCTAAAAAGACAAAGTTTTTGACCTGAGGTTATCAGGGAAGCAGAATAAGCCAGCCCTTCTCTAATCTCTAATATTCTTCAGTTCTGCAGAATATCTATGGTCCTCAAGGTCATTTGTCTGCCACCCTCATTACTATCTTTACTTCTGTTTTTGGTTTCAAAAAAGTGATCTACTGCGCACACACACACACACACACACACACACACAAGCTCAGAGAGCCTCTGAGTATAACCACATCTGTGTCCATCCAGAGTTGTGCCCTCTTAGAGGGCACAAGGACAAGCTTGGTCCTCTCAGAAACTCTGGTGCTCTGACCTCTGTAACTTCAGCGTCTCTTGCTTTACAGATGTTCTCCCAATAGTTAGACATGTTCTGGCTTTTTCCTCATTCCATGTCTCCCAGGAGCTTCTCCTGTCATACTTTTCTTAAAAATAATATCCTTATCTTCCTCTGTGTCCCAGTTATTCTCATCTGCTGACCATGGCTTAGGGACTATCATCTTTCCTCTCCTCTCCACAGTTTCTAGTTACTGTTGATGTCTAATCCAGCAGACACTGGTCAGTCACTTTCTGTTTTGATCTTTAGGAGGACTTGACAGTCTTGACTATCTTGTCCACTTGAATCATTCTCTTGTGTCCTCCCACCTCACC